TGCGCTGGTCATTGCCACCTGCCACGCGCGAAGGCTGAAGCCGCAGAGCCGACTCGAAGTTTTCGGTTGCCGATGGGCTCTTAGGAGCGGTCCCATCCAAAAAACAAACCATGAGACAGAAATGGGAGGGCTGGGCTGGGCAGCTTTTCCGCGGACTTGGTCGAGAAAAAAGGCTTGGGAGGGTTCCGCAAAAGTGATCTTCGAAGGGTTCCTCGAGGCGGTGGCGCAAACTCAGCAAGTACCAAAACGGCTCCGCAGAACCGTCAGTCGAAGTTCCGAATCAGTTCCTGACATGCAGTTTTTGCCTAACTTCCAAAAAACTTGGTCGAAGTTCCGCGGTGCCGGAATCCACGCGCCCCTTGCCGAAACCTTCTGAAACAAGGGAATGACCGAGCCCGGGTTTTGGGAATGAACCGGTTTGGGGATTCCGACTTAAAGGAAACCATAGGGGATGGTTTTTCTAGGGGTCATTCCCTCAGTCCCTGCTGAGAAGCAGCAAGAAGAACAGCTTTTGTGTGAACCAAAAGGTGAAACGGAAGCCAGAAAACCACTCCGGGCTTGGGACAAAACGCCAAGGGGTCGGAGATGCAGTAAGAACGGGTCGGCGCAACGGCACAAAGAGCCCGAAATTGAGCCAAACAGGGCAAAAGGAAAATACCTTGGTGCTGTGCCAGCAAGGACCATCTCTTCATGATGGGTGTCTCATGGTCCGCCGGTGTCCGGCCAGTGGAAAGCTGTGGGAAACTGGCACAAAAACTCGACCTTCGGCCGCAAAGAGCTATTGTTGGTGCGTAGCTCCACATTGCGGCTTCAATTGTCTTGTGCAAGTAAATGATGATCCCAAGGCCCCTACGCCCATCGGGCAAACGCAAATCCTCCCAGTTGAAAGCTCCAGCAAGAGAAGAGTGGGAGTCAGTATGCAGGTTTTGACCCCCTCGCAGTGGTTGGTTTCTATCTACCATGTCCTTACCATAGGCGTCCTTTTAGGGGAAATAGATGGCCCTGGTAGATGATGAAACCACCAGGTAAACCAGGGCCGTCTATTTTTCTACCAAAGCAACCAAAAAGGGCACCTATGGTCCTTACAGAACTCCTGGTATCTCCTTGCACACCCCCAGCCAAACACTCCCTTCCAGCCAGGCTTTGATCGAGTCGGCGAGTTCAACATGGCCGAAGCGGCGCTCCATCAACGCGGACAGCTCCGCCGCAGTGTTGCCTCGAGGCGCTTCGCTTCCCGCTTTGCTTCCCGCTTCGTCAGGGGCCCAGGAATTGATTTCCTGAAGGATACCTCTTGAAGATCCCCTGTCAGGTGTCCCTGATGTCATTGGGAGTAACAAGAGGGCAATTTGACCAGCCCCGTCCCGCCAACAGCGGGTGAAGCCCAGGAGCCGCCCAATTGTTGAAGGTAAGGCCAAGAGACATAGAGGCCCTCATAGGCGCGGGCGTGTGTGGGTGCGTTTGTGTGTGTGTGTGTGTTAAAATAGGGGAACCCCCCAAACAAAACCTATATATTTATATATGGTATGTTCTTTGGTTCCCACAAAAAAAAACACGAAAAAACCACAGCGCGCACCATCCGAATGTGTGAGATCCACTGGCCCAAACTGAAACATTGGAAGCCCGTCTGACAACGGCCTAAGGGAATCCGGCAACCCTTGCACGTTCTTCAGACTATGGACCCTTTTTTGACTGCCCGCCAGTGTACATGAGATAGAGATGAAATGAGAGATTTGTGGAAGGGATTATGAATGGAGGGAAGGAAGCCTCCACCTTTCGTTCGCTCCCCTACCTAGATCATATGTCTTTACTTTCCTTCTCCTGTCTTTCCCCGTCCTCACCATCCCTCACCTGAGGCCGGAGTTCAACAAAGGGGCCCTTCCGACCAGTCTGAGATCGCCACACTGCTCTTCCGTCAATCCCTCCACGACCATCTCAGCACGGATCGGCATCGGAAAAAACACACAAATCACACGAGGCATCAGCCTGATGCAAAAGCTGCGTCATAGGAAGGGACAGGAGGTCTTTTAAGATGACACGTGCCTTCCCAACATCCTCCTGCGTGTTGGAGGGAAGGCACAACAATGGTGGCGACCAGCTGCACTGCACGGAACTGGACGGTGGCACCCAAATACACGAGAAGATGGAGTCCAGATTCAACATCAAGGTGGGATCATCCCAGTTATTCATGAAGCATGGCAGAAAAGCATCCGGGGGACCCCTGATGAACGGGGGACATTGACCAAGCCAAATGTCTTCGGGATGCATCTCAGCAATGCTCTCCCAGCCGAGACTGCTGCATTTCCGTTCTTCTCTTGGCGGATATTCAGCTTGGCTTTGGCGCCACCTCACATCGCAACATGCACATCACCTCATCCCCCTGGCCCAACAAAAAACACCTGGAACAACACATGACGCGTCTGACACGATGCTTGCGTCAAACGACCCCTTTTCACCAAAATCCAAAATCTAAGAATGGAGAAAGCCAATGTGCCTCCCAGTTTGCCCCTGACAGGAAAAGCAACGGGACGTAAACAGGCCCTTTTACTTACAGGCCTGCTTTGACAGACTGACTGGGCGACAAGAGAATGCGGTTTGAACGTGCCGAAGTAAGCACTTCCAAATGGCTTACTAGTTTCAGTATCGTTGGCCTCTTGGTTCCTTGGCCTTCTTGCCGCACTTCCATGTTCGTTTCGGGGGCTAGTTCCCCTTCCTTGATCCAATGTCCTCCAAGTGGAGCACCCCCCGACCCGGAAAAAACCGCTTTGGGCTCGGTTTCGGGCTGTCGGGCCTTGGGCTTTCCGGGGTTCCGGCTGCTGCCCTTGGCCAAAAGGTCCACCACCGCGTTGCAGTAGAGCTCCAGCATGGAGCCCATCACCGTGTAGCTAAAGCGGTCCGAGCCCTGGGCGTCAGATGGTCTGAAGTTTTGATGCTCGGATCTGAAGTTCTTGGCACGAAATCCAGCGATGGAACGTGGAACCCTGAAGGAGGGCCCAACACATTCTGGGAAATGCAGGGGGGGGGGGGAAAAACATTCAGCTGTTAGGTCAAGTGTGCGACCCCTTTCAGCCAAAAAGTCAAAGGTTCTGGTACTGCCCGAATGGGGTTCCTCTAATTTCAACCACTCGACTTGGCGCTTTTTGGCGCCTTCGAATTGGTGCCTTCAATGAAACGCCCCTTCCCATTCAAAAAACAACTCCCGCCGCCTCCCGCGGGTCATTTTTTTCCTCTGCCGAAGGCATTCCGTTCCGAAGCGCTCGGGATGCCGCAAGCCCCGCTTGAGCTGCGGTTGATCAATTCCTCCGGCCCCCGAAATGAGCCTGGGGAGCTGTTCCCATGGCGAAAGTCATCTTGTTGGTTGCATGTTTGCCGGACCTTTTCATCAAACTGGTCAGCCACCCGAACCCCCGAACCCGAACCCCCCCACGGAACCCGGCCCCCACCCCAGCCATTGCCTGCTCCGTCACCTTATAGATCTCCTCGCGCGGGTCGCTTTCCAAGCGGCAAACCATGTCTCCGGGTCGCAGGGCTGATTCACCCCACTGCCTTCTTTGCAGGTGAGACCAAATTTGCCACCTGTCGCCACACCAAAGGACAAAGTTGGAGCCGTTGAAAAGAACGCCATGGATCGCGCTTGCACGGGTGGCCCTTCACGAAAATGTGGCTCTTCTTGTGGTCCCACGTTTCCGAAAACCGAAGATGTCACGTGCCGATGAGTTTCCACGTGACATGGGTTTTGGAAACCACAACAACACCGACTATTTGGGTGTGCCTTTTGCAAGAAGGAAACCCCCTGTTGGTTGGTTTTGGGGTCGAAACCAAAAGGAAAACCATCTTGTTTTTTAGGGAGGCCCCCTAAAAACACACACACCTCCCTAAAAAACACACACACACACACACACACACACACACACACACACACACACACACACACACATTCACACATTCACACATTCACACATTCACACATTCACACATTCACACATTCACACATTCACACATTCACACATTCACACATTCACACATTCACACATTCACACATTCACACATTCACACATTCACACATTCACACATTCACACATTCACACATTCACACATTCACACATTCACACATTCACACATTCACACATTCACACATTCACACATTCACACATTCACACATTCACACATTCACACATTCACACATTCACACATTCACACATTCACACATTCACACATTCACACATTCACACATTCACACATTCACACACATTCACACATTCACACATTCACACATTGACACACACACACACACGCACGCACGCACGCACGCACGCACGCACGCACGCACGCACGCACGCACGCACGCACGCACGCGCACGCACACGCACACACACACACACACACACCCATTTTGGGGGGACTTTTGCAGAAATCAGATACACTCTTTCCTGTCTGCGCACCCGTGACGCCCCCCGCCCCCGAGGGCCCATCTCCTGAATGGTCCGCGGCGCAGTCCCCTCCATGCCTGCGACATGTACTGGAAGGGACACCCTGTCCGCCATAGGTGGCCTTTTGAAAAAATCGATGGCCCTGGTAAATGGAAGAACCCCCACCTAAACCAGTGCCATCTATTTTTCATAAAACTAACCTAAAACGGAAACCTATGCTGTCCGCCGTTTCCGAATACTGGGCAGGGAACCAGGTTTAAACCCTTGGCACGCTGTGAGCCAATCAATCCTTGAAGGCTGGTCTGATGCACTGCGCGCTTGCCTTTCCTCCTTTTCCCCGACTTCCGCTTGCGGAGGTGCATGCGTTGAGCATCCAAAACCCACCTGCTTGGCTTGATGTTGGTTACAAAGTTGAATACGTAGCCCTTACCATGACCTTCCGTGCAACCTGGGTTTTGGCACTTGACTCTGGGGCCTATGCCACGAATCGCTTCAGCAAATGCGAACCGATCCGTTCCTCGGCGCGTGGGTTCAAGCAACCCATGACATACCGACCGTCAGACCCTCAGACCCTCAGACTATCAGATGCTCTGGCGGAGCTGTCCAAACCATCGTCTTCATCCGCCCAGTGCGCGGGCACATAACGGAGGTGATGTCTGTGTGATGATTCTTCGTCGGCCACGTTGTCATGACGCTCCAAACCTCAGCTTTCGTCACGATTCACATGCCGGCATGTTTGTCTTAAGCAGCCTCGAAACAATAGCTTCCTGCGTACCAGGCTTACCTCACTTGCCTCATGATGCATTGCCAAGACAATCTCGCTTGCTTCCTGCTCCCCTGCTAAAAGTTCAACTTTCAGTGGTTTAAGGGAAAACCCATTAGTTGGCAAAAAGTTAAAGTCCTAACATCAAAGCAAAATGCCCCAAAGACAAGTCTCGAGGGGGCAATCAATCTATACATCGAAGGCGCTGTGTCCTCGCTCACTTCATCCTTGCAGAACTTCTCTGTGTTATTCACGCCCGGCGCTCGGCGGTTGTCGTAGTCGGGGACCGCCGTCCAAGAGTCGTAGTTCGTTTGTAAACGCAACCAATCCGGCTGCCTCGGTCTGGCTTTGAATGGCTTCCATCCTCCGGGGTCTTCAAGCCTTGATAAATAAAATGCTACATAGTTCATGAATATGATTGGCAGCAGGATTGGTGAGAAGGTGAAAGAGATGAATTCTCGTTCCTTCCCTCCTTCCCACTCTCTTACCCATCTCACCCGATTTTCACCGTATAACGGTTGGGTGAGTGGGAAGAGAGCCAATGGTCAGTCTCACCTAGAACCAGTTAATTCTTACCTATCTTGTATGTTATTGAAGATTTAGAGCAATGTAGAACTAGAGGATAAAAGGTAAGATATCGGATCGAGGGAGAGAGAAAGAAGGAAAAAAGATATCCCTTCATCATGGAATGGCCCTCATTTTCATTGTATTCCTGCTGTCAATCTGCCCATGTCAAAAGGCCTCTTTATGAGGGAAGCATGGCAACAGGAGGCTGATACCAAATCCGCTCGAACCTGCCAAGCAATGCATCCGAAGAGGCTGATTGATTTGATGGACGTCCTTGGCGTTCTTCTCATGAAGACGCCAGGAATTCCCGAAGGTGCGGCCCCGCGTCAGGATCGCTCCCTGTCAAAAGGATCTGTTTGTGTGTGTATGTGTGTGCGCACAAATAAACATTCAGTTGAGACACAATCAAAACCAAGTATCAAACTGGTCTATCCAGAACCATGTAGAGAATCGAGAAGGCAGCCGCAACTATTTCTGGCTGGGACTGCCCCTTACTAACCTTCATCTACCCGGGTTTTGATTGTGGCTCAGTTCCGGAGATTCCCCTAGCCTCATCTCCGTCCTTGCTCACGCTCGCAAACCGAACGAACAATTTGGCACAAACGCATCGAACCTGAGGAACCTCGGAAGGGCAAAACTCACTTCCTGAGTGGACTGACCAAAAAAAGTCTGCACTTTTCATATATATATATATACCACCAACATAGTCTTTCCAACAAGCTTAAAGCCCTCTACTCGAACCCTGGCCCGTGGTTCCGTGGCCTCGCCGTCGCCCGCGCCAGCCAGAATAAAGTAGGCAGGGTTCGCCAGGCGCTCCGACAACAGAAATTGCCTCAATGCAATCGAAAACGAGGACTCCCGTTTGTATGGGTGCGTGTGTGGTTGTTGAGACCCTTTTTCACCTTGGTTTGAAAGGAAAGCAAGCGGAAACCGTCATGTTTTTGCGGGGGTTTCCCGTGTTGTCAGACATGCCCAAAAGAAGTGAGAGCGTTGTCTGAGGTGGGCGTTCCACACTTCATTGTCAATAGAATCGCACGGGCGAAACAGGGGAGTGTCCCAACATAGTTTTCTGCCCAGAAAAACCTGGAAAATGCTGCTTGAGCATTGGGTCAAATCTGTTGCGAAATCCGTGAATCCTCTTGGTCCACCTTGGCCATCTTACAGCACCCCCCACACTCAAAGGTTGAATGTATGCGTTAAGAACCCCTAGAATGGACCCCTAGTTTATGGGTTATTCAACCGTCAGTTGTGGCTTAATTATGGAAAGATCAGCCCGCAAAAGGTCCAAAATGGCCATGGGTTCATGTATGGACCTATACAGTCAGCCTTTGAACGCTGCGCCTTTGAAACACAGCGCCAGTGCCTGGCCATGCATGTCCAACATGACTCCAAGCGGAAATGGGATGTATGGAGGGGATGCTTCCTATTTCATTCACATCAGTGAGAAGATCCTCCATTGACTTGCGGTGTCACTAAAAACAGACATATTCACGTGGGCAGGTCCCAGTAAAGCCCACTGGAGAGAAGCAGAATATCGGAGTTGTCCAGCTTCCAGCAGATTTCTCCCAGTAAGGGCGTCGGTTCAATCAACTAGTTCAAGAGCAAAGCACCTGTTAAACCAACACATGCCTCTTTGTTGGGAATCCCCCTAGACCACTGACATGGATTTTGCAACAAGGAGGACTCTTAGTCGAGGGTTCCTCGTTTGGGGGGGTTTAAATATGAAGCTCAATGGTCCGCTACTGTTTTTTCCCAGTATCCACAGGGTCCCAACCATCAAGAACTGCAGCATTTTGTCCATCCCAATCCACGCACAAGCTCATCATGTTTAGAAAGATCCTTTTGTTGTTAGCGTTCTTTGTGGCATCAAATGGTTTGCTCCATAAGGATTGTTGTCAAATATAGTGTTCATAAAGTTACTAAACGATCCACACCCCGTTAAGGGGTGGGGGACGTCTGGACATGTAATTTGCACTTTCTGGGGTTTGCCGCCTAAAAAATTAAGATTACATTTTCTTCTAGAGACGTGCCAAATGTAAGATTACATTTTGGACGCTGGCGGCCCCATCATTAAGGTACCTCACACATGGCCAAGTTCCCTTCAAAAGCCTCTGTGCATGCGCCACATCTGCCCCTGCAGCATCATCAGCGTACATTTTGCGACTTCCCCCCTCTTTTGAAAAAAATGCCTGAACATGTCACTCACTTTTTTGTGCGGGGGGGGGGAAGTAACTTTCTACATGCCCAGGTTTCAAGCTACATTTTAAGCCCAACCCAAAAAACAAAAACTGGAAGTACACACTGGGGGGAGGAGCGTCCCCACGTCTCCCCCCCCCCCCATTTTTGGACCCTAAGGGGGTGTGGACCCCAAAAGGGTGGGTTCCCTTAAACCAACCCCCCAAAGGTGGGTACCAACTCAAAACAAGTGGAGCCGCCTCACTTTGGGCCCGCTTAGCTTTCTGTTTCCCATGGAACCCATCCCGAAGAAGTGGGCGCCGCCGGATTTCACCTTCCCAAACCAACCCACCCCCAAAAAGTTGGGCCACATCTGCTTGCTAAAACACAAACACATATTAAAAAACTATAGCTTCACCCAATAAAATAAAAACTAGAAGAACTTGACTTAAGTTCAACCAGCCCCTCCGCCGCGAGGCTCCGCGGCCGTGAAGCCTCGGCTCTGCTCTAGCGCCCGGCGCAGCACGTGGGTGGGGCTCTTCCCGCCCAGCAGCAGCTCCTCGAAAAGAGACTCTCCGTGGAGCTCATGAGAAGCGCATGCGTATATGCATATAATATATATATATATATACATATATATATATACATGGTACCCCCCCTCCCCCCAAATGAACCCTGGTTTGGTGCGTTTGACCTGTATTTTCCCCATGTGCATATATATATATATATATGCAATATATATATATATATATATATATATATATGTGTGCGCGAGTGTTTATTATGTGTTAGCAAATACGTATGTATACCATGTATATATATACACATATTATGCGTATAGATGGTGAATTGGTTTGTGTGTCAGATTGCCACACGAAGCGCCGATTTTGTGGCCCAAGGAATGCTCAACGCAAAGCTGTGTATCAGCCGGCCGGTCGATGTGTCAACGATTCGCAGAGCATACCATATACCAACCTTGGTTGCTGTTGACCCCTGGGCAAAAAGCTTAACTTTTTGTGGGTTTAGTGGCAAACCCCTTTGATTTCCCCCCCCCCCCCCAAAAAAGTCTCTCCATCCAACCGAATCCGCCGACCCCTTCTCCTCAAAGGGGGAGGCGCACGGGAAGGGTGGCTACAGCACAAGTCCAAGGTTGGTTGGTAAATGAGCATAGCCGAAGATTCAACATTATCAGCGTAAGCAACACCGTCATCGTAGCAGAGGGTGCGTAGTCATGATTATCATCATGACTGTTGGTGATGCAGAAGATGCACGATGATGGTTATCGTCCATGATGACGATGACGATGATGATGATGATGATGATGCTGATGATGATGACGATGGTGATGATGACGATAAAGACCACAATCATGGTGATGATGACATGCTCATCGTCATCACATCATCATCGGTGTGACCTGATTGATGCAGAGGATGCACGATGATGGTTATCATCCAAGATGATGACGATGATGATGACGATGATGACGACGATGATGACGATGATGATGATGACGATGATGCTGATGATGACGATAATGACCACCATCATGGTGATGATGACATGCTCATCATCATCACATCATCATCTTTGTGACCTGATTGGAGATGCAGAGGATGCGTAGACATGATTATCATCATGACTGTTGGTGATGCAGAGGATGCACGATGATGGTTATCATCGATGATGATAACGGTGATGATGACGATGACGATGACGAGGATGATGCTGATGATGGTGATGATGACATGCTCATCGTCATCACATCATTGACTGCTGGCGATGCAGAGGATGCACGATGATGGTTATCATCCATGATGATGACGATGATGATGACGATGATGATGACGATGATGACGATGATGGTGATGACAATGATTGATGACGATAATGACCGTGACCTGATTGGAGATGCAGAGGATGCGTAGACATGATTATCATCATGACTGCTGGTGATGCAGAGGATGCACGATGATGGTTATCATCCATCATGATTCTTGACGATGATGATGATGATGACAATGATGATGATGATGATGAGGATAATGACCACCATCTCAGTTCATCATCATCATCATCATCACGGTGCTCATCATGATCATCATCATCAGTCCCGCCAGAGCCGATTTGAGATGCAGAAGATGCGTGGACATGATTATCATGCCTGCTGGTGATGCTGAGGATGCGTCATGATGATTATCATGTCAGTTCATCATCATCATCATGATCATCATCAAGTCCCGTTAGAGCCGATTTGAGATGCAGAAGATGCGTGGACATGATTATCATGATGCCTGCTGGTGATGCTGAGGATGCGTCATGATGATTATCATGTCAGTTCAGCATCATCATCATCATCATCATCAAAGCGGTGCATTTTCCCGCGACAGCAAAGCAAAAATGCACCGCACCCTGGCTACAACAGGGGACCCATCGCGGCCCCGACTTGCGGCGAGAAAACCTTGCGGGGTGACCGGCGATGAGCCTCTACTGCAAACGCAACGTCACGGCACATGCTCCCAGCAGCAGCAGAATTGTAGGCACTTACAGCGGTGCATTTTCTTACCAGATTATTACAAAAATGCACCAAGCCAAGGAAAGAAAACGATCGCTCCAGAATGCATAATCATCATCATCATCATCATCATCATCATCATCATCATCATCATCATCATCATCATCATCATCATCATCATCATCATCATCATCATCATCATCATAAAAGCGGTGCATTTTCACGCGAAAGCAAAGCAAAAATGCACCGCACCCTGGCTACAAGAGGGGACCCATCGCGGCCCCATTTTGAAGCGGCTGGTCTTTATAATTCTCAAAGGTTACAAAAAGTGTTGGGGTTCTTAAAGAGCCCCAGTCCTCATTGTACACTGCAATGGTTTCATAGCTGGCAGATGGCGAAATGTTTGGCAACAATTGCCCACGCTTGCCACATAGCTTTGTCTTTCTGCTAGACCCCCCTGATATACATACACATATAAATATGTACATATATATATAGACAATACGTATAGTTATATATATATATATATATATATGTATATATATATATATGTATATATATATATACATACATACAAATGTATATCTATATACATATCTGCCCCGGACTCACTCACCCCGGAGCCGCCGATCCCTCCCCAGCCTCCAGCAGATTCAGCAGGGCGCTGCCGCCCCGGTCCCGCGCATTGAGCTGCACCGAGAAGTTCCCCAAGCTCACCCCGTGCAGCACCCCGATCATGCCCACCACCTGCGCAATTTCTTTTTGGAACGGGTTTTATAAACCTCCTTTTGAACGCACATTTGCCGGGGGGTGTGCGGGGTTTTGCGGGTTTCTTTTGGGACCCCAAAAGAACCTTTGGAACGCAAATTTGCGGGTCTTGCGGAAAAGAATGGCCCGAGCTTTGGCCGGAATCGCTCAACCTCGGTTTCTTTTAGAGACCCTGAACCTCCTTGTGAACACGAAGTTGCGGGTTTTTGCGGGAAAAACTGACCCGAGCTTTGGCCGGAATGGCACTCAACCTCCATGCAGTCAAGCTCTTGGAGTCCGGTCTGCCCCCGCCAAAACCACAAGCTCCAGCTCCAGCCACGAAAGGAAGGGCCTGGCCCTGATTTTGTGTCAGGGATTCGTGGTCGAGTACAGCCAAGGGGTTTATCCCCACTTCTGTGATACAAGGGAATTTCTCCCTTGATATGGGGGTTCGTCTTTGGGAAGCTCTTCTTGTTGTATCGCAGAAGTCGTCGTGTCCTACAGCCCTGAGTACGGCTGACCATCACGCCCGCAGAGGCGAAAGTAGCAACTTGACCACTCCGCAACAAGTTCAGCTGTGTCGGGAAACTGCGAATCCATCCGATTTTCCAAAGCCATCGAAAGTGTCAAACTTGGGGCCGAATCAAAACGAAACGCCAAGTTCTGTTGGCCGGCCTGGACCGCGCTGAAGACGGTGAGGTTCCGGGACTTATAATCCACCTCCACCACATAGGGCAGCAGCCGTGCGTCCAGATTCCAGTCAAGGTTGCGGCCTGTGATCAATTTTCTGGGCAACCCTCTTTTGGTTGGTCTCAGTCAAACTTAAAGAGAAACTCCTTTATCTACTTATTATTTACATATATATATATATGTATATATGTTGTAGGGGGGGGTCTTAAAGACACACCTTTATTTGTGTTCATTTATATGTTTATTTTGGGGGGGTCCCTCTCAAATACCAGACACCCCCATACGGCTTGGTTCACAAAGGCCAAGGGGGGGGGGGGGGGGCCAACGGCCAAACCCAAGCCTTGCCACACGCCGCTGGAGCCATCCGCCACCAGGCCAGTGCAGAGGCCGGGCCCGCAGGGGCCTGTGGTGTTCCTCAAATGCCCAAGGAAGGCACCCAAAGACCTGGGGCTACACACGCTTTGTTGGTTTCCATTTACCTCATTCCCTGCAGGTCTTTGCGAACCAAATTTGGGGCGCTTTGCCTTGGAGCCTGCCAAATTGGGGCGGAATCGACACGGCGTTTGGAGCAAAACAACAAAAAGACCTCAGCCCTCAGCCACAGCCTCTGATTATGAGAAGGGGGGGCGAGTTGGGCGGTGCGGGGATTCATGGACTCAGCACTTCCAGGAGCTCTCCGAAGCTCTAACATAGAAATGGACTCCAAGTGCCTGCTATTGGCACCACAGGGAGCCCTCCTCCTCCGTACAACTTCGGAGCGGTGGTCTGCGATACTGCCGGCCCTGACGGAGGTTACGAATCGTGAGAGCACTCCCCTGAGACTTTCCATTCCAGGTTTCGGGCTAGAGCCTTTGGAACCCTTCCTCGCCTTTCGCCTCTGGAAAAACCAGGTTTAGCATCAGAAGATCAGTCCGAGAGTCACTTGGGAGCAAGATGTTCCCAAATCTTCGAGCTGGTAGATCAGGTTCACAAGCACCTGAGTCTGCAAAACCGATTGATTCCAACCGTTTGCAGGAAGGGCTCTCTGTGTGATTGGAGCACTTCAGTACAACAAATCGAAGCTCGGCTTGCAGTTATTCCTTGTTGCCAGCCAACCACCAGTTCCACATCTGACGGGCAGGCTCTCAAAAGGGTCCAATTTGACGGTCAGGATAGCAATCAATCTGCAGTTCATTCACTACTCTGATAGGTGACCAACAAAAAAAGTCAGTCAATACAAAAATGAGAAAAACCCTGAATGCCCGAAAATTGGCTGTGAACGTTAGTGTGGTAGGCATCCAAGTGGTCTCTGTTGTTTTGATGCCGAAAATGCGCTTTGGCAACACACACACACACATGCACGCAGAAAAAGAGAAAGAGAGAAAGACAAGGACAGAGACAGAGACAGACAGAGAGACAGAGAGACAGAGACAGAGACAGAGACAGAGACAGAGACAGAGACAGAGACAGAGACAGAGACGGAGACAGAGACAGAGACAGAGACAGAGACAGAGACAGGGAGGGAGGGAGGGAGGGAGAGAGAGAGAGAGAGAGGGAGAGAGAGAGAGGGAGAGAGAGAGAGACAGAGAGAAAGAGAGAGAGAGAGAGCGCGTCCCATTACTGCCCTTGCAGTGAAACAAATATCATGGAGCACTCAAAAAAGGCTCCCCCAATATGTTGATTGGGGCCCATCATCATGTACTCCCTGGAGAGTGCTCGATTCCTTTTGTGGGGAAGCAAGTCGGAAATTTCTGGTTGGGAATGCCCCTAGCTGGGGTCAAATGGTCAAATGGATCTTGGTCAACCGGGCTTTGGGGACACAACTGGTGTCGATATTCTCCCGCGTGTTGGTCCCGGAATTCTCTGCGCCCATCCTCCCTTGAAGGAATCAGCTATGTCCAATGGGTCCAGCTCCGAGAAGGATCTCGAATCGAAACCGAGGAACCCTTAGCGAACTGTTGCCCCGAAATTCGCGGAATGTGGGGTGTGGCTTATAAAACATCCCCAAAATGGTGGCGTCCCTTTGGCCTCCACTAGACTGAGCCCAAAACGGAGTGCAAAATCATGGGGTGTAGGAGGCTTTCCGTCAGGCTTGCCCCCTAGAGGGCTCAACCCATACTTGGCCACTTTGGCCTTATTTCCTAGGAAAACCCCCTCCAGAAGGGGGCTCTTCGAGAAAAAAAAGGAAAGAAAAAAAGGAAAACAGTTTCCTAAGAAGCCCCCCTCCCAGCCAGGGCGGCTCTCCAAGCCTTCTGAAACCGACGCTCCGAGCCACCCACCTGCCTCTCTCACTCCGAATCTCCGCCTCAACCCATACTTGGCCACTTTGGCCTAAGGGGGCTCTTCAAGCCCATGAAAAAAGGCGCACTCACGTGTCCTAGCAACACCTTCCGGTTCGTCCAAAGGCGCCACCTCCCCCAGGGACAGCTTCAGAGCCCCCGCGATGCTCCGCATCTCCGCGGCGTAGTCCGAGTAGAAGGCCCCGGTGAGCGACTGGAAGGAAGGCCCAGCCGCGAGAGCCCAAGCCCCGGTGGCTCCCGTGGCCCGGTTTGGGGGGAACCGGTGGGGGGCTCGTTGGGAGCCGGAGAAACCCAAGCAAAACAAAAAGAGGGAGGGGTGAATCCACAAGCTTCGCCAATGCAAGCCTGCAATGATTGATCAACCATAAGTTCCTGGCGTGGAGTTTGTCCAGTAGGTTCAAGGGAAACAACCAACCAGCGTTTGACGTTGAAAACAGAAACAACCAAAATCAGGACGTCGGGCCTTGGTTATGCTGTCCACCAACGGAAGCAGCGCGCTGGGGACGTATTTCCTGAGATCATCGTTTCCGGCAGCGATTGAAGCGGCTGTGCCAGGTGTTTTAAAAGAGACTCCGGCTGGAAGCTGGGGTTTTCGACATCCGGAAGATACACCAGGCGCAGGGACATCAAGTACCCACTTTAGAGCTAGTTGACTCGGCGAATCAGATTTCAGTCCAAGGCACTCCAAATAGGCGTTCACCTCTTCCTTGTAGTTCTGAAACGCAGGGTCGCTGGCCAGAAACGACCACCTGCAGTGGCTTCTGCCGCCGTTTTGGTGCTAGGCCTGCCCTGTTCAGGCAGGCAACCTTCAAGTGGAAGGATACTGCGCAGTGGCCTTCACGTGACAATGTGTAGGATCGCACCACGCCGAAGGTGATGAATTGTGATGGACAAAATCATAACATTCGTCTTCCCGTTGCTTCAGTCCCCTGGGAAAACAAGCATGTCCAGTAGTAGTAGATTCCCTTTAAAGCCAAGGGGGAAAAAATAGTCTTAAGCAAATGGAAGTAGCTGTCTCTCATTCCTCCCAATCTACTGCTTGGTCTGTTTGCTGTCCTGAGTGCACCTTCTGTCATTGTACGCCTTGTTTGCATGATTGAAGGGAGGAGTTAGCGCAGTCATTCCAGCAGCAGATATGCCACTGGCACAGGCTTCGGCTTGTGAATTTCTCACTTCCGGCCCTCAATGCGAAAGCTCATTATTGGGCTCTATGTCTATTTCCGTAGGCAAAACACTGCATGGAGTGCCTCACCTGGGGCCAATAGATCAACCAATGCGGCCGCTGGCATACTGCCGGAAGGCTGAAGACAGCTTGGGTGAAGGAGAGAGGATGGGTCAAAATTCTAAAATGGGTGGTGAATTCACCTACCCCAGAATGGGATACCATTGGTTTTGACCCACAGCCAAATCCTCAAAGAAGCTGTTGCAAGTAAGATTCTCTCGCAGCTTCATGCAAGTTAGTCCAGAAAATCTATCGGAAGAACCCCCCGCGATGGGCAAACACTGATAACTCACTGCAACCCAGAAACCAGCGGATTCCTCATCTACCCTCTACAAGAACCAGGGGTTCACATCCAAATCCAAACCAAACCAGCAAAGGGTAACATGATCCTCAATCTGGGGACAAGACTTGCTGGTGCTCAGCAGGGAATGAGAGATGGAACGACCCCCGAGATGAACCACCCTTGCTGGTGGCAAGTTGGAATCCCCCAAACCGGTTCATTCAGCCACATTCCCTGTGCGCACCTGCCAGTCGAAGCTTTCTGGAGGGTCCGACTTTGTCTCCCGATTCAAATCGCAACACTGCACAGCTCGCAGGATAAAGCACTTGGCCAGTGACCAGCCAAAAAAAAAGTGTACACTTTTTGGGTCACCACTCGTAAAAAGGGAGAGCCGCGAAGGAAAAATGTGGTGGAGTGTGTCCACTGGGTGAGAAAGAAAAAAAAGCGCCAGCAAGAAAACCGAAAAACCCGAAATCCTCCACCTCGCTGTGTCCGGTTCCCCCCGAAGGACGGCCTCTGCTGGGCCGGCAGATCCAGGTCCACCGTGAGGCGCCGGGGCGCCACGCCCACCCGCCGGCCCGTGCTCTGGCGCAAGGCCTGGCGCGTAAAATAGAAAAACAACTTGAATATGTGTGTTGTTATTATTATTATTGATATTGTTATTATTATTATTATTATTATTATTATTATTATTATTATTATTATTATTATTATTATTATTGTTTTATTATTATTATTATTATTATTATTATTATTATTATTATTATTATTATTATTATTATTATTATTATTATTATTATTTTTAATAATATTGTTATTATTATTATGATTGTTATTATTATTCTTATTATTATTATGATTGGTATTATTGGTATTATTATTATTACTATTATTATTATTACTATTATGTTATGTTTATTATTAGTATCATTATTATTATTATTGGTATTATTAGTATCATTAGTATTATTACTATTACTAATATTATTATTATTGATATTGTTATTACTTGTATTAGTATTATGATTGTTATTATTATTATTATTCTTATTATTATTATGAGTGGTATTATTGTTATTATTACTATTATTATTATGTTATTGTAATTATTATTAGTATTAATATTATTATTATTATTAGTATTATTATTATTATTATTATTATTATTATTATTATTATTATTATTATTATTATTATTATCCGTATTATTATTATTAGTATTATTATTACTAGTATTATTATTATTGTTATTATTATTATTATTGTTATCATTATTATTATTGTTATTATGATTATTATGACTATTACGTTGTTTGTTGTTAAAACAAAAACAAACAAACCTTCACAATAATAACCATAAGAAGAAGAAGAAGAAGAAAACGCGGCCAAGGGGCGCCCAAGCCAAAAGGCGTCCGGTTGGTGGGCAAAACACATGACAGCGGACCAAGATTCCGAAGCTTCGGCCAGTTTTGACTATACTGTTCCCGTTTGGCGAAAGGCATCTGTGGTGCCCCTCATCACACGTGAAGGGCCTTTCGATCAATCCCCACAGCCTCTCCAGAAAAAGTCCCTTTCGTCTTGTACCGGTTGGACAAGTTTGGGTTGACCCCGGTCGAAAAGGACTTTGGTTGGTTCAAGATGTGCTTCGGATCGCATCCTTTTGCAACGTGCAAAGGATCTGGATGCTGAAGTCTCTGGCTTGACAGAGGTCCAAGGAGAGAGAGAGAGAGGTGGAAGATGGCAAAACGCTCCGGGCAAGTTGAGGAAAGCTGACTGCGAATTCTCGAGCTCGAAGTCGAATTGGACCTTTGAAGCCAGGTCAACACTCTAGGCTTAGGCCAGCCTACCCCAAGTCCTTAGGCGCCCTCTGTCGGAGGGGTTTCAGAACAAGCTGAGGGAAAGACCGTCGCATTTCCGTAACAATGCTCATGCCCATGAAATGGGTGTTTGCTAAAGCTCCACACCACTGAAAAACAAACCCCAAACCAATGAAACACACCGCCCCCCTTTGTCACCCTGATCTGCTTTTACCCGCCTCATCATTCACCCAGCCGAGGGCTGCTGGCACCAGCGCCAACAGCAGCAGGAGACCCATGGCGCGCATCGTTTTAGCTGACCAACTTGTGTCGATGTTCGCAAAACCATGCCCAAGCTGGCCCAGCTTCGGCAGGGCAAATTCAGGTGCATCAAGCTGCCAGTTTGGATTGCCAGATTCCATGCACACAACTGCTAAGCTGAGCCAGTGGAAGTGCAGAAGAGTCCATGCGTTCTGTGGCACGAACAGCTTGTACTGATCTTTTGACATGATCGTCTCAGCACGGACAAATGACCAAGGAGGTGGATGTAGCGTACTCTTCGTGGCTTCTTTGTGCCGCACCATGTCGGGTGAAATTGACTCAGCCTGCCTGGCTTGCCTCGACTCGCCTTGCTTTGTTTGCAAACCCAGGCACACCTCATGCAGAATCGGAGCAGCCAAACCCAGCCTGGTGCCTTGTCGACCACGATCCAATGTGAACGGTGAAAAGACCTTTTTATGGGAATAGAGGCCCTTTTGCAGTTGTGCAAATCTGGGCGGCCATTGCAACGTGAGCTGGTTGCTGGGGGCAAAACATAGCGCCACAAAGTTAAATGCAAGGGTCCAAGCAAACTGGTCCCTACCTACCTGACCCTGTGAGCTCTGAGTTGCAAGGTCTTGTGCCCAAAAAGATCGTTGGCATCCCCAGGTTCCACAACGCCATGCGTTCCAGTACGTGGATTCAAGAGGAAACTGCCTGCCTGTGAAAGCGCTTTCACAGCTCCAAGAAGGCGAAAGAGAAACCGTGCTCGGGGCAGTCTGTTCAAACTAAGAAAAGTTCAGTTGGGTGGGGGGTGTTCAAACTCTTGGGAAGTCTTCTGGCCTCAGTATTTTACCGTGATCAAAGTCACCCCCTAAGTTGTGGGCTGAAGGGAAACGACCCCATATTCTGACTTTGATAAGCCCCAGAAACGCTCAAAATAATGATTCCGGGTCCTTCCTTCGCATTTTCCCTCGTCGTCCAAAAAACGTCCGTCTTTTTGCCGCCGCGCCTTTGACGCCGTACATGGTGAAGGTCTTGCCCGCGCCGGTCTGGCCGTACCTCCAAGCTGCCGGCAGACTGGGATCCTGGTGACCTGTGGCTATTAAATATGGAAACCTCCACCAAACCAGCTAAAAACCATCGAAAAAGCCAAGGAGCCAGATGGCTGGGAACCAAGAAGAAAGGCTGCAAGAACACGCACTGAAAAAAAATGGGCAGCGTGGCGAAAATTGACTGAACTCGACCACAAACGCGTTGATCAAGTCGAAAGGACTTCCCCAAGCATCCTCGATAAAGGATCAATGCCGAGCGGCGCAAACATGGTCACATTGTAGCCTCGGGCGCGGAAGGCCGACAGCCATTCGGTTCTTGCCCGCATGCGGAGATGTTCGGACTCGAAACCAAAGCTCCTACTATTTCCACTTACTCTAGTGGGCTGTTTTCAGATCCCCTGATCAGGCATCCCAGTCTCATTCCGCTTTTGATTTCCATCGCAAAAGTCGCATTCCAAGTGCAACCTCGGGGGGAAAACCAAAAAAAAACAATCCGTTCCAAAACACACAAAGCAATTTCAACGCCGTTCTCGTCGGGTAGGACGCCATGTCGCATGCGTCCACGTCTGCGATGGACAGTTTCCGTCCGACCGTCCGACGTCTGGGCGCGCCGGCCATCCGCGGCCGACTGCACTAAGTCCCGGCAGTCCTCAAAGACTTCCTCCTGGCAGGTGGACCGGTACCCAAAAACCCAAGCACTCAGCAGGTTCCGTAGAATAGAAAGAGGGGGGGGGTTTAGGAATCACCAGGCTCTCCAGAATAGAAAAGGGGGAGGTTTAGAAATCACCGGGTTCCTTAGCATAGAAAGAGGGGTTAAGGAATCACCAGGCTCCGTGGGAAGGAGGGGGTTTAGCTTGAAGGGAGATTTCAACACCGGCACGAGCAGGCACCAGGTGTTTGGGTTCAAGGAGCTGCTTGTACAAAATCAAAGCTGTCATAGACCTCCAGTGACCCAAGAACTGGAAGGGATCACGGCAATGCGTTTATTGCCTTCCCCACAGAGAAAGATGGAGCGGCCCTTTCCAAACGTACGGAAAGGAGGGGGCTCCTGCAAACCTTCGAGCCGGCAAGCCCAAGACTCTAAAAACAAAAAGCAAACCCAACGGGGCGAAACCGAGAAATGGAGCCCGAACATGACCCTCACTGAACAGTTGCGTGCGCCCCAGATCCAAGCCGGCAATCCAAGCAATCCAGAATTCGGGCCGAAAGTTGGCGGATGTGAACGTAGTATCGCGCGCCCAGCGCCAATCATAAATTACATAAGCCCAAAGCAGCAGTCAATGTTCAAGTGAGTCAAAAATCACGACCTGGTGCTAAAAGGATCTACCCAAACCAGTGTGGGGAATTCAAATGGCGGCCGATATTTATGATTGGGACGCTCCCCTACTATCCTTAGTCCACCCAGGTTTGATTGTAGCTCAAGGTGGGTATGTCTCAAAACAAGTGTTTCGAGGGTTTGGCCTGACAAGGCATCGGCTGGCGCCTGAGTGCCAGGTGTGAAGACTGCATCAAAGAGGAACTGCTCATCCTTCACCTGGCGACTTTCTTTTAAGCCCACAGAATGGGTGGGTTTCCTCTTGGCTTCCCTTTAAATCCACCAAACAAGGGGATCCCCTGACCAAAAAAGCCTCACCCATACTCCGGCTTGAATCTAAGACAACCAAAAGCGGAATACAAAAGCGGAGTGATGCACCAAATGCTGCCGGCATCGCTTCCTGAGGGCTGAGTATCCCAGGAAAGCAGGCGTGATATGCTGCACATGTCACGTCTCTCCAAAGGCGGCCTTGGGATCCAGGCGGCCTTATCCCGTGCTCAACCTCTTGAGCCTCCGCCTGTTTGTTTGGGTATGGGTCAAAGTCAAACCAGGGGACCGCAGGTTTTAGTCCTTGCTTCAATTCACCGGGGCTCCATTTTGGCTCGTATTTTTAACCCACAGCCATTTGACGCCTCACTGTTGCCTTTTTTTCTGACTTTGATAACCGATGTCATTTTCTGACTTTGATAACCCCCAGAAACCGTCAAAATGACCCCAGATGGGCCATGGCAATTCCACCGGTCGCCCGAAACTCTCCGCTCGCAGCTGCTCGCCTTCACCGTCATCTGGTCCACTGCCTGCCAAGCGCGGGCAAGGGATGCTTCTCACAAGAGGGACCCTCCCACCAAGTAACATGGGTTTGTGCACAAAGCCCAACTAACCAAGAGGAAAGCAGTCTTTCCACAAAAATCTGTGCACAAACCCATGTTAGTTGGGAAGGGAACCAAAAGAAAGAGAAGCAAAGCAAAAGGGGAAGGAAACATGCTGTCCAGAAACATGTTGCCCTGGTAAGTGGAAACATGGACCAAAACGTGCTGTCCATATCCTGGTGGCTTAATTTTGACCCATATGGCGGTTTGCTTCCATCGCCTCGCAGATGGACACGTCGCCTTGGCCAGTCTCCTGCGGAGCCATGGCCACAGGACAGTCCCCTGCCCATATCCCCTTCAGTCCACCTGCAGAAAGGCCAGGAAAAAGGAGTGAAAACAAAGGGGTTAAACACCTATGCTCAGATGTTGGTGCTCCATGGTTGCGATGTTCGTTCTTTTCAGGCGATGGCACGATGGCACGGAAGGGGTTCAGCTGTGCGCGAGCTGGTCATGTTGAGATCCTTTGGGGCCCAGCATGGCCCAAAAATGGAAGGTCAAGAGCTTCAGCCATAGGTAGCCTTTTGGAAAAATTAATGGCCCTGGTAAATGGAAGAAACCCCACCTAAACCAGTGCCATCTATTTTTTCATCAAACTAACCTAAAAGGAACACCTATGGCTCCAACAACTCCTTCTTCTCTTCACCAAAACTTGGATTCCAGTGCCTCCCCAGAATGCCCACTCACCGGCACCGAACCCCTCTGCCTCCCCCCCCCCCCATCCACCCCGCCTTTTTGCTCAGCGGCCGTACTCGGCAAAAGACGCGGATGGAGCCCTTGAGGTCCTGGCGAGTTCGTTCGCGCGATCGAATTTTGTTCCCGTCGGCGTGAAGAAAAATATCGCAGAAAAAGCACACGCCGCCCCTGCGGCATGTCCCTTTGCCGTTTTCTTACTCTCCCACCAGGGGGGTGAGGGATCAAAAACAACTTATTGGGCATCAAAAAAACTTATTTCTGAAGATCAAAAAATATTAGGCATCAAAAAAACTTACTCTTTTTGATTTACTATTAAACATGAAAAATCAGAGGATCAAAAAACATTTTTTTAGGGATCAAAAAACTTGTTCATTTCGTGGCAGGCGCAGCACTTTCGCAAGGTCAGGTACAGATTTCGTGGCAGTCGCAGAACTTGCGCAAAGTACGGCAGGCGCAGGACTTTTGCAAGGTCAGGTAGCAGGCGCAGCACTTTCGCAAGGTCAGGAACACATTTCGCGGCAGGCGCAGCACTTTCGTAAGGTACTGCACAGATTTCGCGGCAGGCACAGCACTTTCGCAAGGTCAGCCCGCGGCAGGCGCAGCACTTTCGCAAGGTACGGTACAGATTTCGCGGCAGCAGTTTCGCAAGGTCAGGTATAGATTTCGCGGCAGGCGCAGCACTTTCACAAGGTCAGATACAGATTTCGTGGCAGGCGCAGGATTTTTGCAATGTCAGGTACAGATTTCGCAGCAGGCGCAGCACTTTCGCAAGGTCTGCAGCACTTTCGCAAGGTACGGTACAGATTTTGCGTAGGCGCAGCACTTTCGCAAGGTCAGGCATAGATTCCGCGGCCAGCGCAGCATTTTCGCAAGGTACGGTGCAGAGTTTGATGCAGGCGCAGCACTTTTGCAAGCAGTGAAGAAAAAGATACAGAGATATAAACATGAAGAAAAAGGGAGAAAAAAGAGAGAGAGAGAGAGAGAGAGAGAGAGAGAGAGCGAGAAAGAAAGAAAGAAAGAAAGAGAGTGATGATCGAGGAAGTGATGATGCAGCAAAGGGCGCGCTAAGCTCTGTAAACATTCTGAAAATCAGCGGGGGGGTTGGGGGGGGGCGGCAGCCCCCCCCCAAATGTTCGAGGAAGTGATGATTCAACAAGGGGTGCGTTAAGCCCTGTAAGCATTCTACAAATCAGCAGGGGGGTTGGGGCGGCAGCCCCCCCATGATGTTCGAAGAAGTAACACTTCAACAAAGGGTGATGATGATCGAAGAAGTGATGATTCAGCAAAGGGTGCGTTAATCACTGTAAACCTTCTACAAATCAGCGGGGTGGTTGGGGGGGGGGGGCTTCCTTCCGTCCGTCCGTCCGTGGTTCCTTCCTTCCTTCCTTCCTTTCTTCCTTCCTTCCTTGTTTCCTTGTTTCCTTGTTTCCTTGTCCCCATAGGAATGAAAAGACGTTTTTTGTTGATCCCAAAAAAGTTGTTGTTTGATCCCTAATAAGTTTTTTTTGATCCCTAATAAGTTCTTTTTGATGCCTATCCCCCGTTTTACATCGAAGCTCACGTTCGGGACCCGGTTCCCTTAAAAGGAAAATGATCTTCCAGGAGGGTAGTGCAACAAGAGTTGGAGGGCTAGATTCTGACACCGGAGCCGCTTGAACCATGGAACACACTTTGCAATTTTGGCAGAGTTGTGGAATCTTCTGGTGATCACAGTCCTAGGAGTGTTGATCCGCAGGCGATTCACTAAAGAACTCAGCCTAGAGAGTTCTGCATGCGTCTGGCAGGAACCACCACCGCAGAGGAGAGATGGGAGATCGGAGCAGCCAACAAGCTGGGCCCCCTCACAGTGGTGGCAGTTTCAGGGGGGTCCCCAAATGACTGTTGGGGCCCGGTCTTGTTTCAAGGGACAAACAAACGAGGATGTCCCCTGGAGGTGTGTCAAAATGGTAGAACTAATTTGTACATAGTTTCACAGGGAAACCACAAGAAAGAACCCATCGGCGGCCCATCTTGAACAAACTAGGGGGACCCTAACGATGGCTTCTCCTTTTGGGGAAAAATGAACCTCCCGTATTCAAGTCCCATCTCAAACCCGGTTCTCCTTTTGGGGAAATGACCCGCTGGGTTTAAGTCTACCTTGGGGCAATCAAAAGCCCAGACCACAGACTTTCCGTCTCACTCTCACGCCTCCACCGCATTGTGGAGCTTCTTTCGTCGCTGGTCCAAGGGCACCAAATCCTCGGAGGTGTTTTGCTTTTTCCCCCGCGGATCCAAAACCTGTGCCTTAGGAAGAGAAGAACAGAGAGAAGGTCTTCCGACTTCTTGTGGGAGTTGTGTGTAGGAAGCAAAGAACAGAGAGAAGGTCTTCTGTTTTTTTTTTGGTGCTTGGGAGTTTTGTGAGTCCTCCAGTCTTTTACACAACTGCCTGACCACAAAGGAATCAAGATAGGTTGACCGAACCCCCAAATGCATGTGGCTCAGTGGCCAAACAAATGGCCAGAGCCTTCGCACAGATTCTACCACGTATTCCAAAGCCAGCGCTTATATCCACACACATCAAACAAAAGCGTGAGGGGTCAATAAGCCTGAAGGCAGCTCAAACGGTCAAATAAGACCAAGGGCCCATCGGTGGGGTCTTTTAGCGAAGGAAGCCAAAAGCTCCCGATAACGACTGGCAAAAATCCGCATGAATGGTGATATCTCCACAACCTTATATGATTCACACCCAGCAAAGATCCATGAGGATGGAATTTGTTCTTCCGCTTTCTCCGAAGAGAGAAGCAATGCCTTTTGCGTGACTGACAAACGCTTGTTGAACCTCATGTCGCAGGCACTGGCTTTGGCGATTGCCAGTAGCGCGCAGAAACAAGAGCCAGGCGAGCAGCCAGGCAAAAAAAAAAAATCCTCCCGGCTCTACCAAGCAGTGGCCTATGTTGGCAACCAAGGAAAACAAATCGCGCTAGGCGCAGAGACTGAAGGAGCGGCCAGGAACTCTATTGTGCAATACTGGGATAGGTAGGTGCAACCAGGGCTCCACTTTTTGATTCCCACAATGACTTAAACCCAGGGCTGGGTCATGTACCCCAAAAGAAACACACCGCTGAATTTAAGAGTCTATTTACAGGTTGCAAAAACAAAAAAAACTGAGCAACCGTCTCTAAACATCATGTGTTTGCTTTCATGCAAGACCTGTAGGAGTGTGTGCCAGAGCCCAAGTAAAATCACCCAAACGGGAGTTTCTGAAAGGTTAGGTACCTCTCATAGGTTTGTTTTGCCGGTACTCAGCAAGACAAACCTATGACATGGAACGACCCCGAAGAAAAAAACAAAAACAAAAAAGAAAAAAAAAAACATCCCTTGCTGGTTTGGTTTCCTTTAAGTTGGACTACAACCAAAACTGGCTCAGTCCACCACATTCCCTACAGGGCTGTGGTTCAAAACCAATGGTACCATTTTTGGGGTAGGTGCACCACCCATTTTAGAACCTATTTTAGTGGGGATTGGGATGCTCACTGGGGGTGCGGAATTTTGACCCATGGCCAGAACTCGCACCAAACTCTTCGACATCTTGGCCGTTCTGAGCCGTGGCCGATTTTCGACTCGGGCAGCCCGGCGGCCTCGGGCACGCCCGCCTCCAGCGCCGCCTGAAGCTTTGCAGCGGAGCCTAAGATTCCTTGCCCCCAAAGAATGGTTGACCCAGTTTCCTTAGCTAAACCATGGTTAGATGCCCACATGGAGAAGCCTAGGTTCCTTGGATGATGGTTGACCCAGTTTCCTTAGGTAAGCCATGGTGGTTATATGAACCCACATGGCCATGTCGTACCCCCAGTGAACATCCCAATCCCCACTAAAACAGACTAAAATGGGTGGTGCACCTACCCCAAAATGGTACCATTGGTTTTGACCCACAGCCACATGGTTTTTTCACGGTGGTACCTGAATCCCAGGGATAAGTCGATGCCCGCATCGAAGCTCGGCTCGCGAGAGGCTATAGCCTTGAGCACCGTCTGCAGCTTATCCTTCATCTCCCTCAGCGAGTCGATGCTCTTCATGTCCACCTGAGCAAACCAAAGGCTACGCAAGAACGAAAGAAAGAAAGAAAGAAAGAAAGAAAGAAAGAAAGAAAGAAAGGGAATGGTGGGTTTTTTCGTGTGACTCGAGATCTCGGGATCTAAAACAAAGGGGATGCGGGATGCGATATGTTTGGGTTTTTCTTGAGACGGTATCGAGATCCTTCCATCAATAGGTTTCACCGCAGCCTCTTCTATGGGCCTCTTTTTGGCCGATCTGAGGGCCTACAATCCACCAAGCGACCCTCAATGGGATTTTATCCCATTCTGTCGGTCTCATTCGCACCATGCGGCAGACCATGTGGCTCGCGGGCGTGTGGAATCTCCCAAAGTGAAACTTTGAAATGTAAGGGAGGTGTCTTTTAAAAGAAGGGGGACCCCCCCAAAAAAAAGAACATGAACGATTTCCTGTTGGTTTCCCTTGTAACCAACCCCAAAAAGGGAACCCTAACAAAAACAGGCCCATATGGGTCTGTCTTTTTTCAAAGGTACCCCAGTTTGGGACCGGAGCCGTTTTTGGCAGGTCTCCTGGGTCCTCAAAAAGCCGAGCCGCCCATATGAGGCAACTTCTCTGTTTTTATGGCCGCTTGATAAGCAAACGGGCGGCTCCGTGCCTGCTGAGAGTCCTCCAGCGCCGTATTCACTTGCTTCATAAGCTTCTCCTGGGATGGGCGAACTCTACTTCCAGTGAGCCCAGGAGCCATGCACTCTCTACTTCAAGCGAGCCCAGGTTTAGATCAACTGTTGATCAACTGGTTTATTTGGGACCTCTTCCACTTTTGTACGCGACTTTTTTCTGGCCGCGGTTCCAAGCACTGAAGGGCTCCGTCGGCTTGTTTCGGGATCTTTGTTTGATGCCGCCGAATGCGAGCATCCTCTCTGGAAGCCAGCTTCAGCCCACATTTCGGTGTTTTGTGTATATATATATATACATATATATATATATATGTATGCATATGTGTATTGGGGGGGGGTGTCTCTTTCCTTTTCAAAAGAAACACACAAGTTTTCGGGGTCCGACTGTGGGCGCAAAGTCCCTCAACCGGGAAAGGGAATTCGTCACCGGTATAATCTCACATGGGAGTGTCTTTTTTTGAGCACCCCTTTCTGAAAGGCAGAAGCATGCACCCCTTTCTCAAGGAGGATCTGCACTCCTTCTCCTCTTCCTTCCTGAACAGCTCCTCCGCCTGACGACACGCAAAAGAATGCATCGCACCGCACTCGACGGAAGCTGGTGCCAATCAAGACCCCGCGAGATGTGTCACCCTCTTCTCGCTTCAAACTGGTTGCCAGCTGGTTCTTGTTCTTTTGACCAACCTCTTCCATCCGCCTCCCGCTGCTTTGTCATGTGCGCATGGGTCCCAATCCAACCACTAAAATAGGTTCTAAAATGCCAATGATGGCGAATTCACCTGCCAACTGGGACCAACACCTTTTTGACCCAGGTCGGTCGCAACTCGCATTGGACCCCACAGCCGGGGCGCGCTCGCGAGCCAACGGCCCCGGCCTTGGCGTATTCCCCGGGCTCCAGGCCTGCGGCCTTGGCTGCCTGGACGGCTGCCTGCGCATCGAAGAGGATTTCGGGGGAACCGGGCTGCCGGGCAGCCTTTGTGCTGGTGGATGGTTGGGCCTAAGGGGGAGCCCTTCCCAAAAGAAAAGGGAAAAACGGCCGGAATCCGCGTTTGACCGGGAAAGGGAGGGAGGCCTGGCGGTCTTGCTTTTGCGTCTTTTTTTTTCTCGGGAAAGCACCCGTGCCAGAGACCAAGGCTTGGCATTCCTGTCGACTTGACCGGGAGAAGAAAAAAAAAGGCGCGCCTGAAGGCCAGCCTTGGTGATGTTCTGGCAGGCCTGCGGAAGCTTAGCGCAAGAGAGATATGACGACCACACCACCAGGCCTGGTGCGCGGGTGCACACGTCTAGCATCCAACACGGAAGGGCCTTAAACAAAACATAGCTCGTTGAAACCTACCGCCCGTGCCATGGCACTATAAGAAGTGATGCATTTGCGCGGATTACATCTGTCAGAACTGTTCAAGTTGCTAGCGAAGATACGATCTGGCACGCACGGCAAAACGTGACTGGCAACAGCAAAACAAGCACCGGCAACAGGAGAAGCTCCCAAACCAATCTCCAACGAAGAGTTGTTCAGGACATCTTGGGTCGCTCCTCCGTTTCCAAAAGCAAGGCGCATCTCTCTCCAGATCCAACCAGCAGCGCCCTTCTCCGGACAACCAAACCCAAGCCTCCTGCAGCTGCTCCCGTGCTTTCATCTTGGGTTCCTCCACCCTCAGCACGTCCTCTCAGGTCGCCCCGAGGCGTACATGCGGCATGCTGCAAACCGAGCTGGCTTGGAGACCGAAGCGCGCCGTCTGGCTGAACAAGTCACAAGGCCACCCTGGAAAAACGTGTTTTTGCGACCAGTTGGTATGGTCAAACCCAGCAAGCAATTTGTGGCCTTTGCCCACAGAAGCAAGTCCCTGCTCCGAAATAGCCTTGATCTCCTCAAGTTGCACAAGCCCAGCAAATCGTCTTGCCACTGTTTGTGTCCAGGATCGAAAAAAACATCGCCCTTGTGGGGCCGCTCACCAGCCTCTGCTGCCGTGATCAAGGCTGCATCGATCCCGGCATCCTGGCAAGAGGAGTCCATGCACCATGACGCAACTCAAGCAAATGCCAGGTGTGGCAATGATCAAGCCTTAGAATGGGGGGGGGGTCCTCAACAATGCAGGGGGAGAACCCCAAATTGAGTGGTGCTCCTGTGGTTTTCCAGCGTGACGCACGCAATTCTGCTCAGCCATGAAACTTCTCCAAACGGGAACTGGCCCCCCGCCTTTTTCGTACTTAAAAGGACACCAACAGGAAATCCTCCGTAGCCCCTGCGAGAAACGCCCCAACGTGGCCGAGTCTCTTCTCCCCTCCCCCCGCCTTGGCTTGCTGGATGTTGAACTTCAAATCGTGCACCTCGGAGGTCCCAGTCCGTGTGGGAGAACAAAATCCTATATGATATATCTCGGTTGCTTTCTGCTGCCCTGAAAGTTTAACTTTGAGTGGTTTACGGAAAACCCATTAGTTGGCAAAAAGTTGCTAAAGTCCTAACATCCAAGCAAAATGCACCTCTGATATGGGAGGGGGGTGGTCTTTTTTTGGAGGGCACCTCTCAAAAGCCCTCCTAGCGACTAACAAGGCCTATTGGGGGCTAAGCTAATTCAGGGGCCCCCCCCATCTTTGTAGGGCCCCTGACAACGGTTACACCATCCATTTTGAGGGTCCCCGAAAAGAAGAAGAAAAAAAGAAAAGGACAGACTCATAGACTCGCGTGACTCAGCGTCTCAGCTCCTTGTTTCGTTTCGGCCCCAACCAAAAAGCCGCCGAGCCGCGTTGCGCTCCTGCGTGGCCGTCTTCAAGGCCGCCTCCGCGTCTCAAAACCATCCCACAGGATCCAAAGCACAGCAAACCCCACAGGATCCAAAGCCCTCGGGGTTCGACACTCAGCCCGTAGCCCGAGGCACTCCAATAGCCAAAAAATTGTATCTATATATGTATGCTGTATGCTCCCCCTCCTGGTGCCTATGTGTGTCTTGATTTGAGCGCACAGGCTTGAAACCTGAATCCCGGTATTCAGAAATCGCAATACCTGTAAAAAAAAAACACACATAAACTTTACACCGGTACTAAGGTTTCAGGCGGGGCATTCATGCATCCAAGATGTCCCTGAAAAGTCCCCCAGCAATCTTGGATCTGGGATCCAGATGAGTTAATACCGGGTATTGAGAAATCCAAATAACAGCACTAAGAAATCCTACTGCCGGGACTAAGAATTATCACCCCTGCCTTGGTGCCCATTCTGGGCCAAACATATGCAAAACATCCAGGAAAAAGTGATTAAACTACAGCACCAGGGAGCGTACCACGTATATACATTATATATATATATATATGTAGTTGTCTATATATATATATACATTGGAGTGTCCTCTTTATTATTTTAAGGGTTTTCCTTTTGGTTCCCTTTAAAACCCAACCAAAAGGGTCTCCCCTAAAACAGGCAGATCCAGGAAGATATCAAGCTACTTCAAAGTGTTCACGGTTGCTAAAATTGCTCATGGTGCCATGCCCTGTCTCCAAATCTCCGTACCTGAAGGCTCCCAGGGATAAATCTCCCCATGACAATCCACGTCGCTACCGAGAAAGCAAGGGGGGGCATAGGTGTCCTTTTGGAAAATCTAAACCAGTGGGACCCATCTATGTTTAACCAAAATTAAAACCCATCTAAACCAGTGCCTTCTGTTTTGTAACCAAAATTGAAACAGTGCCTCCATTTCTAACCAAGCTAACCGATCAAAAGGACACCTATGGGGATGCTACAACGCGAATCGTGACAGGTGCCCAATATAGAGCCCTGGTAAATGGAAACGTGGTTTAATTTTGACCCATACCCAGCGGGGGGGGGGGGTGGTACCGAGTTTTCCTCAACGGGAAGCCGCGAACCTCCACCTTCTCCTTGGACTCGGCGGCGGCCAGTAGGTTCTGTCGGCGATCACTTGGCCCAAATGCGCTCGTCGCTCTTCTTGTTTTTGGGGGTGGAGGGGCCTTTTTGGGCTGGGTTTTAAAGGTAAACCAAAAGAAAGCTCCTTTTTTTTCTGGGGGGGGAAGCGTTTGGGCTGCGGTTTAAAGGCAAACCAAAAAAGAAGAAACGCGGGTGTTGCTTTCCTGTTTGTTGGGGTCCCCTGACAAAGGGCGCACCCAAATGGCGTGAAAGAATTTCCCAAGATCGGATCGGATTCCTCTGCATCCATTTGGGAACTCGGCAAGCGGCGCCAGCAAAAGCCATGCCTTCTCCCATGACAGAAACAGGGATCCGGATGCATGAAAAACACCTGACCATTGCAACTTGCAAATGGTTTCCAACTGTATTTGGGTGTTGAAAAAGCAACATGTTTCAAATGGTTGCAAAATGTATATTTTAAGGAGCCCTAAAAAATAACCAGCAACCGACGCGTGATTCTGACCTGTGACGTGTGTGTGTGTGTGTGTGTGTGTGTGTGTGTGTGTGTGTGTGTGTGTGTGTGTGTGTGTGTGTGTGTGTGTGTGTGTGTGTGTGTGTGTGTGTGTGTGTGTGTGTGTGTGTGTGTGTGTGTGTGTGTGTGTGTGTGTGTGTGTGTGTGTGTGTGTGTGTGTGTGTGTGTGTGTGTGTGTGTGTGTGTGTGTGTGTGTGTGTGTGTGTGTGTGTGTGTGTGTGTGTGTGTGTGTGTGTGTGTGTGTGTGTGTGTGTGTGTGTGTGTGTGTGTGTGTGTGTGTGTGTGTGTGTGTGTGTGTGTGTGTGTGTGTGTGTGTGTGTGTGTGTGTGTGTCTGTGTGTGTGTGTGTGGTGTGTGTGTGTGTGTGTGTGTGTGTGTGTGTGTGTGTGTGTGTGTGTGTGTGTGGTGTGTGTGTGTGTGTGTGTGTGTGTGTGTGTGTGTGTGTGTGTGTGTGTGTGTGTGTGTGTGTGTGTGTGTGTGTGTGTGTGTGTGTGTGTGTGTGTGTGTGTGTGTGTGTGTGTGTGGTGTGTGTGTGTGTGTGTGTGTGTGTGTGTGTGTGTGTGTGGTGTGTGTGTGTGTGTGTGTGTGTGTGTGTGTGGTGTGTGTGTGTGTGTGTGTGTGTGTGTGTGTGTGTGTGTGTGTGTGTGTGTGTTGTGTGTGTGTGTGTGTGGTGTGTGTGGTGTGTGTGGTGTGTGTGGTGTGTGTGGTGTGTGTGGTGTGTGTGGTGTGTGTGTGTGTGTGTGTGTGTGTGTGTGTGTGTGTGTGTGTGTGTGTGTGTGTGTGTGTGTGTGTGTGTGTGTGTGTGTGTGTGTGTGTGTGTGTGTGTGTGTGTGTGTGTGTGTGTGTGTGTGTGTGTGTGTGTGTGTGTGTGTGTGTGTGTGTGTGTGTGTGTGTGTGTGTGTGTGTGTGTGTGTGTGTGTGTGTGTGTGTGTGTGTGTGTGTGTGTGTGTGTGTGTGTGTGTGTGTGTGTGTGTGTGTGTGTGTGTGTGTGTGTGTGTGTGTGTGTGTGTGTGTGTGTGTGTGTGTGTGTGTGTGTGTGTGTGTGTGTGTGTGTGTGTGTGTGTGTGTGTGTGTGTGTGTGTGTGTGTGTGTGTGTGTGTGTGTGTGTGTGTGTGTGTGTGTGTGTGTGTGTGTGTGTGTGTGTGTGTGTGTGTGTGTGTGTGTGTGTGTGTGTGTGTGTGTGTGTGTGTGTGTGTGTGTGTGTGTGTGTGTGTGTGTCTGTGTGTGTGCGTGCTCATTTTAAAGACTCTGAGTATGCTCTGAGGAAAGCGTTTGACACAAAAAGCGCTGCGGTTCATGAAGCTCAAGGTCGGAAGCGTTGGAACCTTCCCCTCCCCGCTCCTTCACGTGCTTCAACTCCGTCTCTGTGAGCCCGGCCGAGCAAGCTTGCTCCAAGGCGGCCTCGCATGGTCGGCCATGAGCGCCAGTGTTTGGGACCAAAGGTCACAAAGGCCCCAAAAAGAAGAGCAATGAGAGCGCCTCAAGAATTCTTGGGATGGTTACGATTCCAAGCAGCAACCGGGGTCTCCGACCTTGAACACGCCCCGCCCAGTGACACGCTTTGTGAGAGAGAGCGAGAGAAAGAGACGGAGAAAGAGCAAAAGACAGGTTGTCGTCATTGCTTGCTTGGGGACAGTGCCAGCGAGCCCAACGCCTTCTGTAGTTTGCTTCACTGCAAGATAATCAAAGAGGACATGATTCTTCCACTCTGGTCATACTTCCGATGATTCGGACAATAGAAACACAGTCGGAAACGAGCCAAATAAGCCCGGCGATGCGATTTCCCGCCTTCAGCGTGTCCACATTGCCCGAGTCCTCGCCAGATTCTGATCAGCGGCATTGTGAAATGACACGTGAGAGGACAACAATTATTGTTGAAACAAGCATAAACTTTGATAAGACCTTCAATCCGTTCCATGGAAAAGTCCTCAACAAGATCCATATTGTTCAGCTCAAAGACAGCGTCAATGCCAAGCGAAAAACAACGCATGAGCCACACACAATTCACTCACAGTTGATTCAATTAGGCAGGCCCCCGATTTTTGGTGAAAAACTGTTGGGAAGGCCCCGGCCATGTCCAGAGGTGGTATTGTCCGTTCACATGACCGCCAGCGCACCAGGGGCCCATGGATGGCGCTTCCGCCCCACCCCTCCCCCTCCCCCGACGATCGCGGAGCGAGCGCGGAGTCGACTCCGCGCTCCGCGGCTTGCTGCAGCTTGGTGCGGGCGTCTCGCTTCTGCTTCTCCACCGCGAGCACCTGGAAGGAAGCAACTTGCTTCCGCCCCGAAGCCACACATGACACATGGGCGTGTCACGTCTCCGTTCTTCTTCTTCTTCTTCTTCTTCTTCTTCTTCTTCTTCTTCTTCTTCTTCTTCTTCTTCTTCTTCTTCTTCTTCTTCTTCTTCTTCTTCTTCTTCTTCTTTTTTGTGGGGGGGGGACCGTTTGTTGGTTGGATGTACAGAGAAAACACAAAAGGAAAACCACCAGTTTGAGATGGTCTAACCTGAAAAACCTCTCAGGTTTTAGAGGTTGCCGAGAGGTACCAACCATATCGACTCCCTTCTTCCCTTTCGCGGTGCGAGATGGGCCCTTTGCTCATGTCGTGCCGGTTTTGGCGATGGTAGCACCCAGATCCCCAAGCTCCCAGCTGCACCTTTCACGGCATGTCAGCAGTCCCGGGAAAATCCACGCAAGGGAGTCCACGCTGCTCCATTCACAGGTGCAAAACTATGGGATTGGGAAACAAAACTTCAAGTCCAGCGCGGTGCTTTTCAGGCTTCGCAGTGCTCAACTGCAACAGTGGTAACACTGGATATAAAAATACAAACCATCCGAGCCAAGCCTCCAACACCATCCGATCCAAGCCTCCACCCCCCAACGGCGCCAAAGACCCCGCGCCTGCTCCGCTGCAGAAATCTCCTTCTCTGAGACCTGCGTCGGGGCGACGCCCAAGTACCCCATTCGCCAATGGGGCGAGCCCTTCAAGCAAAAGCCCCTCCTCCCCCTGCCCCTACCCCCCCAAAAAAAAGAAGAGGAAACATACCTCCCCATCCTCCCGATGAATCCGGAGCCGGGTTCGCTATTTTTCCGAAGGTCGCTGGTGAGATCTGAGGCGCCTCCAACTTCTTGGCCTTCTCAATGGCCGCCTCCAACCTGGCAAAGGCGCGCGCGCGCGCGAAGCGCCTCTGCCTGAACTTCTCTCGTCCCGCTCAAACACACCGTGCAGCCTGAAAGCTCCCAAATCTCACGAGAATGGGGCTGAGGCTTCCGTTCTGGTTACACTGCTGGGAAAGCTGAGAAAGGCGCACGTGAGCGCACAGGGACATGTTGCCATGGCTTCGGCTTTGCCAACCAGCTTCCTTGAAAGGATCACCGGTGACCAAATTTCAGGGCTCGCCACGAGAACTTGGGTCGTCTGTGCTTTCACTGGACCATTGTCCTCAAGCCAAAGGAGAGAATACCTGGCGTCTACCCTTTGGCCCTCGGCATTGCGGAAAGCAGATCTCCCCCTTTTCTGCGCTATAGAAAGTTGGGTCCTAAAGGATTTGGCAATCTCCCAAACAACTGGATGTTGAACTCCCCCCCCCCAAAAAAAAAGAAAAAAAGAAGAAACGGCTTCCCTGTCGGTTTCCCTTTAAAGCCACCCCCCGAGTTGCTACCCTTCGCCCACCAAAGAAACCCCCAAAAAAAAAAACGCCGCGCCCGTTTTCAAAACCCCCCCGGTGGTTTCCCCGGGCGTTTCTCCGGGAGCCGGTCCTGGCGACGTCCTGGACCTGGGCGGCCTCCGTGAGCTCCGCGGCGGCCCGCTGCTTCTCCTTCGCTGGAGCAGGGGTTTCCGTCCCGAATTGGACGAGGGGGTCTCTGACGTTATTTGCTTTGAAGCGCGGGCTTGAAACTGACATTGATGCACAGTGGCCTTTCATGAAACAATGGTACCCCATATGAGGCACCTTGGTATGTCGAAACCAAGACCCAGCCGCTTAACTGCGAGCCATACTCAAATCGAACCGGATGTCCCACGAATCCAGGTTGCGGTCGCCGGGGTGTTTTCCTGCCAGGATCAGTCCCCGGCATTTGTATCAGGGTGGACTAACCTTGAAAATTTTGCGTGCGTTGGCTTGTCAAGCCTTCCTAAACGAACTGTAATAAGAAATGTGCCGTTTCCGGCTGGGATTGAGAAAAGCAGCCCTTACGACTATGATCTCAATCCTGATTTGCTCAATGATTAGCTTTGCTCAAGAAAATGGAATAACAAGCTGGCGGACTTTGCTAAACGCTGGACGAACTGGTGAGCCAGTTGAATGATACATTTCTTATTACAGTTCGTTTAGGAAGGCTTGACAAGCCAACGCGCGCAAAATTTTCAAGGTTAGTCCACCCTGATACAAATGCCGGGGACTGATCCTGGCAGGAAAACACCCCGGCGACCGCAACCTGGATTCGTGGGACATCCGGTTCGATTTGGGTATGGCTCGCAGTTAAGCGGTTGGGTCTTGGTTTCGACATACCAAGGTGACTCATATGGGGTACCATGGTTTGAGCCACAGCCATTTCGGCTGGGTTTGGGAAAAGCAGCCATTGAGACTATGAAGGGAAGCAGCATTCGATATCCATCTTGATTTGCTCAATGGTGATTTTGTTTTTGCTGTCGCTTGCCAGCTTCACAGCGGATGACTTGTCCAGTTGGAAGATCTTGGGAAGGCCTTTCCAATCGAATAGTGAGCTCTCAGCCATGCGGATCATCCCTCCTTCTCTTCTTACTCAGGATTATAAAGGAGTGACTGCCGTATTCTTGAACGGCACTTTTGACTTGGGATGGGATCCTTTCTGACCTTTTTGCCACTGTCGTCGCACTTCTATGAAAGATTGTCGTTCCTTGGTTCGCACTGAAGGGGCAATGCAATGCTTGGGCTCCTTTCTGACGGAGCTTTGTGCCTTTTGATCCAGGCTGCTCGGATACAGCATTCACATCCAGGTGCGACTATCGCACATCCATGAGGGTGTCTCCTCCTTCGTTGACTATGCACACTGCTGCGCAATGTCTGGCCTCTATGCTTGGCTGTTGCAGCTTGACTGACTTTTCTTGCTTAAGAAGTTCCATCTGTGCTAAAAGCCCCTGTCCACAAGAGCACGTGGGGCAAGGGTGTGCTGCTGGCTGTACCGAGCGCACAAGCGGGCGCGCCAAAACCTGGCGCATGCCCAATCCTGCATGGAACCAGGTTGCCGGGTTGCCGGGTTGCTGCAGTGGAGCAGAGGGGTCAGGTGCTCACATCAACCTCGACCTCGCCACCTGGAAAGAATTTAGGAGGCTGAGGCATCCACAGCCGCAGCTGGCGCAGTGGCGCAGGGTGGCGCACGACAGCCAGCTCCGGTGAACCGGGCCCGGGGTGCACTCCGAGAGCGCCGCGACACTTCGGGCCGGCGGCGCCAGCGAAAAGTTGCCGCCCTTCTTGGCTGCTACCGGGGGAAGCCCCCCTCCAAAGACGGGAGACACTCGGAACTTGGAATTCAAAAGGAGCAAATGGAGTTGGATGGGTAGAATGGCCATTGTCCTTGTCTTTGCCTTTGAACCAAGGCGAAAACTCGGGAGTTTCCCTTTCAACCAAGGCGAAAACCCGGGAGTGTCCCTTTGAGCCAAGGCCAAAACCCGGGGGGTGGGGGTGCGGGGGCGGGGGGGGGGGGGCGGTCAAACCCGCAGAAACACCCCAGGTTTCCTGGGTTCCGGGGGGTCGGGTCGTCAGGTCGTCGGGGAGTCCGTCCGTCCTTCTTCATCTCCTCGGCCTTGGCGCGCTCCTCGTCCGTGGGGCCCTCCGGCACCACGACCTGGTGGAAGGAGGCGCGGCTCCGGGCGCCATGAGACGGAGTCTGTTTCTCGAAAAAGAAGGAGGTTGCGAAATAGGCAACCTAAGTGCATTTTCAGGGCTATCTTTTGGTGTGAGAAAGGAAGCCAACTCTCCCTCGGAACCAAAATGGACGACTTAGGATGAAGAGAGAGTTGTCACTCCCTTCCCTCAAACCACCTGTGTAAGGCCTCACTCAGAAGAATGACAAACCAACACTGGAATATCAAAGCAGTCAAAGTCGCCCGCACCTCCTCTTTCTTCTCAGCCGGCTCCTGCAAGCATTGCAGCCCAAGAGATCGATTCACTTCAGGAAATGATCGGCCGAGGTTGGCCGCTTGAAGATAGGGTGGCCCTCCCGCGACTTTAGGCAACAGTCATTGTTTCATCAAAGGCCGCCAGACTCCTAAGCAGAAGCAGGAGACCGGGACCGAGCAGAATCCTCACTCATGATCCCAGTGAGTACTGGTAGATCTGGAGTTCAATACCCATATTTTAAGAGGGGGTCAACCACATGTAACCTAAGGAGGGGTTCCAACACCTGGCACGACGCCTTTGGTTTTTTGTTGCACTTTCGGTCTGTTCAACTTGTTGCTGGTGGCAAGTTTACAGTCTCTGTCTGTGTTGCGTCCCATAACTCACGCGCTCCCGTCGTCAGCCTCCCCCCCCACCTGCACAGTGATGGTGGTATCCTCCGTCTTGGCCACCGCCTGAAGAGGCTTCAACACGCGAAGCTGGGAGCAAGCACGAGGTAAGCCACCAGGGGACCGCAGGTTTTCGTCCATGGTTCCATTTACCAGGATTCCATTTTGGGTGCCCATTTTTGACCCACAGCCAACTGGAAGCAAGCTGGGATAGGCTCGAACCCCCCTCCCAAAGTTTGAACCGTCGGGTTGGTGACCAATTCAAGCCAAACCAAATGCTTGGCTTCCTTTTGGCTGTGTTCCTTAAGAAAAATTCCCCAAACAAGTGAAAACCCAAGGAGAACCCAAAAAACGCTTCCCTCAAAAAACGGGGCTCTTTCCCTCAAAATGGGGGTTCATTCCCTTAAAACGGGGCTCTTTCCCCCCCAAAAAAAAAAACCGGTCGGAACGCCTTCCAGGCGCGCCAGGCCTCCATGAGCCCCTTCTCACCGAGGCCCGTGGGCGTCTTTGCCTGACGTCCCGAAGCTGGGTGCATCTGATGCGTCTCGTGCCAGTCATAGGGCGGTGGGCCAAAAATCGGGGAACCCCAAAACGGAACCCTGGCAGATGGAAACAAGGACGACCTGCGATCCATATCCTGATCCTGGGGGTCCCATACGCATACAGTCATTGAGAACATCCTGCCAGCCATCGGCCGGAACAACCTAGCGAATGCCTTGTAATGTCTAGAGTCTAGACACAAGGTTGCACTTAATTACCCAACAAACACAGGCGGGTTTGAGAGGGTGCCCGAAACGATCTTCAGCAACGGGATTCCGAAATTCAACTTGGCCGAAACCCACGTGAGTCACAATCAAAACCCGGTAATGAAATGGTCTACCCAGAACCGTGTAAAGAATTTAGAACCGCAGCTATTTCTGGTTGGGATCGTCCCTTTACTAACCTTTGTCTACCCGGGTTTTGATTGTGACTCACGTGCGGTTATTTTGAGGCGCACAAGTAAGGAGCGCCTCAAACAGCCGAACGCGAGAATTTGGGCCCTTTCCACACTCTCAACGAGCCTGATTGGAACCACGCGTCACTCGCTTTCCATTTGGCCCACGCGGACACGTCTTCGAAGGAGCGTGCCTTTGAGAAGCGCAGCAATGCGGTCGCGCAAGGGGCGCCGCCACCGAAAACCAAGAAACCCGGGTCCACCATGAATACCCAAATCAGGTCTCCCCGCATCCCAAACAGCCTCACCCTTCCCCCCCACCCCGCCCCCCGCAATTGTTTTGCTTGCTTTAAGAAGGACAAAACAACAACCCAGAGCCATCCACGGCCCAGAAGAACTATGTGAAACAAACAAAGATTCTTTGCAAGATCCTTGTGTGTTTGACCCGAGCAAGTTCATGGCAAAGCCGTACTTGAGTTGCGGCTGGTGCCTTCTTCTTCTTCGTCGTTCCCTTCTCAGCCGTCTTGTCGCCATCTGCCTGCAGAGGGAGAGCCAGCGATTCCTAGGTTGGGCCTTGGATTTGTTACAGAAGCCGTTGAACCGCGGTGCTGACTGCCGCTGGGTCTGACTCAGAATGTGCAAAACCATCTGCAACTCTGGCCTCCTTCTTCTTGGTTTTTTTCTTTGCCACCTCAGCATGCCAAGCAACGTCAAGAATCACAGGCACACAAAATAGAAGTAGAGGATGGCCAAGGGCAAATCCTTCGAGTGGTCTTTTTTAACGCCAAAACCCGCGGTTCTCAGCGGCCGGCGGCATCCGAGGTCGTGGACTCGTCACCTTCCTCGCTTTCGCGCAGAGATGCGCCGTGGGCGATGGAAATGCGGAAGTGGGGGTTGAGCAATCGTCCGTTCGGCCCCCAAATGGCTGTGGCGCAAAAAAAAAGGACAGAAAAGGCACCTTGGTAAATACCACCGAAGACTAAAGCCTGTACCCTGGCTCGTTAAGTTTGAGCCACACTCAAATGACCAAGGGTAACATTTCCAATTTAGCGGTTGGAATATCATCTTTTTAGTTGTTTTCCCCAATGGCCATCCAATGTACAGGACCTTTTGATCAACAACCAAGTGAACAGACTCCTCTGTGCTTTGACGATCTCCTCGCCAACTTTCATGAAAGGCAAAGGCACACACAGCTTGCCCTTTCACCGACCCACTGTCCGGGAGAATCCGGGGCTGTTGGAACACAGAAGGGCTCTCAAGCTGGCATCTCACCATGCTTCGAGGGCTTGGCCCTTCTGCGAACCCCAGCGGATGCACACGCTGCCGGCCTTGACCTTCTTTTTTATCTTCTTCTTCGCTGTCGCCTGCGACACGAATGGTGGATCTGACCCTTCAGCCATTTCGAACAGGGGCTGATTCCTTTTGGGACCCTTGTTTCATGTGGGTGGCTCGTCTTTGTCGAGGGTACCCTAGTCTTGGCGTTGGTTTGAAAGGGAAGCCAAAAGGAGTACCATCTCTTCGTCTTTTGTTTGGTTGGGGGGGGTCCCCTAAAAAAACGACACCCCCATTCAAGGGGGTCCGAAAAGGGGTCCGAAAGTGCGCTTTGGGCAACTGACCTAACTGAAGAAATGCTCCGCAAGAGCATCGCGAGACTGGCAAGAGGACTCTGCGAGTGTTGTCACCCTCTCCAACAATTTTGGACGTGGACAGGAGGATTTGAAGAGAACCCATCCCCTGAAAAAGGGGCCCTCCACGTCCGCGCCATTGGAAAAAGGGCCACAGAACGAGTAGGCGATCGAGACTTGCTTGCTGGACAAGAAGACGGTCATTTGTCATCTAATTTGAATGGACAAGAGATGGACAGGAATGGAGGGGAATGGAAAGAAGACAAAGCAAAATAGATTGGAAAGGAGGCAATGGAAAGGAAATGAAAAGGAACTGGAACGGAAACCTGGCGCCATGCATGTGTTTAAAAAGGAAATTGCGAAACAAGCACTTTTTCGGCTCGGGCTGGCCTTGGGCACTTCTAGCTTGGAATGGAAAGTAGTGAAAAGCAATTGAAATGAAAAGAGATGGAAAGGAAAAGGAAGGAAATGGACAGAAATGCAAAGACATTGAACAACCATGGAGAGGAAATGCACAGCAATGCACAAGAAATGGACAAAATTGAAAGGTCATGGAAAGAAAAAGATATGGAAAGGAAATAAAAGTGAAATGGAATTGACTGGAAAGGATGAAAATAAACAAATCGAATTGAAATCTAATTGAGATGCAATGGGAATAGAAAGGAATGAAAGGGACACGGCAAGGAAGGGAAAGGACATGGAAGGCAAGCTCAATGAAACGCTAAAATTTCTTTACACGCGAAATTGCGAAACGGCACCCGTTCAGCCCGGGCTGGCCTTGGGCACTTCCAGCCAGGAAAAGAAAGGAGAGGAAAGGAATCGATAAACGAAATGAGAAAGACATGGCAGGCAAATGGAAGAACACATGAAAAAATGGCAAGAAGAAGGAATGAAAAGGAAAGCAACAGACAGGAAATGGAGTGGAAATTGAAATGGAATGGACCTGGCATGGACATGGAAAGGAATGGAAAGGACATGGAAAGGACATGAAATTCGCCGCTTGACAATTCATCACACGAGAAATTGCGAAACGAGCAGTTGTTGCGCCCTGGGCTGGCTTGGGCACAACTCTTCTAGGAATTGAATGAGTAGAAAAGAATGGACATGGAAATGGACATGGACATGGAAAATGAGGGCATGGAAAGGAAATTAAAGGAAACGGATTGAAATCGAAAGAAGTAGAAAAAATAATGAATGGAAAGGAAACGAAAAGAAACTGAAAGAAATGAAGAAAATAGAAACCAAATTGAGAGGAAATGGATAGCAATCGAAAGAAGTATGAATGGAAAGGAAATGGAAACGAACTTGAAAGGAGTGCAACATGGGAACGAAATGAGAAGCAAATGGAAAGGAATGGGATTGAAATGGAATCGAAATGGCTTGAAAATGGAAAGGAATGAAGAACGTGGACAATGTCAAGGAAATGGACAGGAGTGGAAAGGAAATTGAAGTAAATGGAAAGGAAAAACTCAAAATGACATGGAAAGGACAAATGCAAAGGAACTGGAAAAGGATGAAAAGGGCTTGCAAAGTGCGCGTGTCATAATTGTCCGCGCGTAAAGACTATAAGAGCTCCGGGTGGCCTTTTTCATTTCTTGTCCATTCCTTTCTATTTCCCTCCCATGTGTTTTCATCTCTTTCAACCTCCTTTCCATTAGTTTTGGTCTTTTACTACTCCTTCGCATTCTTGCCTTCAACCTTTCTACCTACACTGCCCAGGTCAGAAGGGGCTGAACAAGTACATATTTTGCCGCTCTCTGTGTTTCCTCTCCGTGTCCTTCCATGATTTCCATTCCTTTACATTGGCCATGGGTCAACATCCTGTACCGTACCGCAGTGAACATCCCAATCCCCACTAAAATAGACTAACATGGGTGGTGCACCTACCCCAAAATGGTACCATTGGTTTTGACCCATACCCATATATGGTGCCCATCTATTCCTTTTCATTGCTAGAAGTGCCCCAAGGTCAGCTTAAAAAGTGCTCATGTCGTGCAAAGCATGTGAAAATAATTTTGAAGCGGCGAGTCTCCTTTCGATTTCGTGAAAATTGGGTCCATGTGCTTTCAGTTCCAAACCATGTCCCCTTGGTTCCTTTGCATGTCCATTCAGTGTCATGTCCTGTCCGTTTTTTTAGGAGAAACAAAAAAGAAACAGTTAGTAAGAAAAAGGCAGTCGGACTTCCACGTGTTGCAATTGTTCTAATTAAATTAGAAAAAAAGGATAGCTAGCTCGGAAACTGTTCCCCAAAATGCGCGCGCGCCACCTTTTGCTTACTCTTGGGGGGGGGACCCTCGTTTGCTGGATGTCGAAAGGGAAACCTATAAGAAGCCTGCCTCAGAGTCCGTGGGCGAGGTCATGGCAGCGCCTTATGCGAAGCTCGGGATGAAACGGCTCTAGTTTTCACGCAAAAAAGAAGAAGAAAAAACGTGGGATATTGGTGGAATCCACCTCTCATGATTCATTGCTTGTTCTTAGCTGCGTCTGGAGCGTGGGGTCCTTCGATCTCTTCAATACTCTTATAGGTTTCGTGCTGAACCCGATTTGCCCTTTCAGGGACGACCAACCGCATTTTGTTGATTCATGCTGGCTGACTGATCCCATGCCAAGCCGGTCAAGAAGCAATGTATTCAGGCTGCTTCTTTTGGGACACCGCGAATGCAGGCAAAAACCATGGTCTTCAAAACAAGCCATGGTTGCGCGAGCTCCGTAGGGTTTCGCGGCATCTTCACCTTCCTTTGCCTTTGAGAGTGACGATTGCTCTAAAGAACACGAAGCGAACCGTTGGGAGGCGCATGAGCTGCTTCTGAAGTCAACGGATCTAGAGGGAAGCAAAACCCCTGCGGACGAAGAACAAGCTCCCTTACCACAAATACGCAGCTTCATGGTCCATGAAGGGCAAGATGCCGCGATTCAATCCCACCCAACTTGTCAACCTGTTGTTGTTCACCCATGATAGAGATCCAAAACCAAGTTTGGAAAAAACATCTGGTACCCCTTTTAATGGTTTTAAAGGCACCGAAATCCCTTTGGAGGTCCAACCAAAACCGTGACACACATCCTGGGTGAAAAGATAAACCTTTCGAGGGGTCCAAACAGGGAACAATCACCCACATCTTGGGCGAAAACCTAAAAAACAACACACTTGTTGGGTTTTAACAGTGTTTAAAAGGAAAACCAAGAGGAACACCTAAATCCCCTTTGAGGGGTCCCTTTTGAGGGGCTCCCAACAGTCTGACGCGTCTGCGTCCCGTTGGGTCTCCAAACCAACCGCCTGGGCTTCCGCGCTGAGGGCGGAGGAGGGCGACAGGTTCGGCTCCGAGTCCGCCTCCGGCGACAGCGCCGGGGCCTCCGTGGACATGGACTCCGCGCCTGGAGGCGCTCGGCTCGCGTTCGGCGGCTCTCGGCGTCGGCTGGGTGGGCAAAATTGGGGGGGAAGGGGGGGTCGGGTTCAAGGAAGTTTCTAAGACTCTACTGGTGGAACAACATGGAAGAAAACATGGAACCCCTCTTTTCGGGCGACATGTTTCTAGTGGGTCACCTTTTTGAGCATACCCAGAGATGATGAAAGGGTGGGTATGGCTTCGGGCGCGAGGTTTTGCCGCGAGAGTTTTGAGGGCGAAGTTGGAGGAGTGTCTGGCTGCAGGAACCCTCCAACATTCCTTTTGCGCACAGCCCAATGGGCTTTCGGGGGCGGGGGGGGGGAGAGCATGGGGCTGCGCGGCTGTTTGGAGATATCGCTTCAGATTATTGTTTTGCCCTTTTGTTGGGGGCGGGGGGGCATGGGGAAGATTGAGTGGAGGTTTGAAGGAGTTTCAAGGGGATTCCCCGGGATTCTCCGCTACAGCGAAGTCGAGAACATGCAGAGAGAGGGATCCCGGGTTTGTGAAGCGTGAGTTTCACCAAGCACGTGGATTGTCCATCCAGTGACCAGGACCAAACCCGCTGCTCCGAATTCTTGGGGTGGGCAGGGTGTCTCAAGAGCTTTGTTCACCTGGTGGGCAGTGTCCAATGAGGGACCAGCTTTTGAAAGGGATTTCAACATGGCTAAACCAAGCAGATTCACTGAGCGATAGGTGTTGTGGTTTCGGGTGTTTGCGCCAGTCCTGAGACAGGCAAGTCACTGTTGGGTTGCCGTTCAATCTAGTTGCCTGCTACACCTTGGCTGCTATAAATCCAGCGTTGGTCCGGCTCCAGTTCACCCCCTCGGGATTCGGCAGGAGGCGGTCTCCACATCTGGGCGCGGCAGCTGCAACTTACCTTGATCCGGAGCCAAAACTCTCGAGAAGCGCTCAGTTTTGGAAGCCAACCGTTTGGCTCGGCTCAAGTCCAAAAAAACATCTGCGGGAGGAGATTTGAGGTGCAAGAAACAACAAAAATACTCGCATTGAACTCGTTTGGCACGGGCAAGGTCTTGTTCAGGAGACTAGCTGCTCCGCCTGCCTCGCTGCCTCTGATTCACGATCGCGGCACAGCATCAACCACCATCAAACCGCGCATCGCGCATCGCGCTTGTCATGCAAAGCCCCGATGGTCTTCTGCATTTCACTTTAGAGTTGCGCTGCGCAAAAGCAATTCCCTCAGATATGGGTTGCTAGTCACAAGTGCACAACTGCTCGCCTTGCTTTTTCTCAAGATCAAGTAAACATGGGGCTGTGGATATGCGCTCTACTTCCTATCGACCTGGGAAATTTGTTGAGTAGCTGGGGATTGGGGTTCATGTTGTACCCAAAGGTGTCCTTTTGGGGCACATAGATGGCCCTGGTACCACCAGGTAAACCAGGGCCATCGATTTTTCCACCAAAACAACCAAACGGGACACCTATGGAGTTGTACCCATTTCCCGCCAGCTGACGCACCGCTCAAGCATTGCCTCAATCTGTGCCACGTGGCCTGAAGGAGACGCGGGATCTGCCTCCTCCTCTTCCTCCTCCTGGGGCCCGCTGCACCGGGCGCCGTTTTCGCGTTTTCTGGGGGAGGGACATGTGAGCGACCAAAATCCCTGTCGGCTCACATGGGTATGGGTCAAAAATTCAAACCACCAGGATGTGGACCGCAGGTTGAAATGTCCTTGGTTCCATTTACCGATCGGGCAACCCATTTGGGGGTTACCCTATTCTTGACCCACAGCCACATGGCAAGAACAGGTTGATACACGGCGTTCTGGAACCCCCATGAAACCAGGTAGAACCACCATGAAACCAGGTAGAACCACCTACCATGGCCAATAGGTCGCTTTGGCCGATTGCCAGACCCGGCTGAAACACCCAATCTATGTTCGCGCTCGAAGGGTAAGCAACGAGGTTGCCTCTTCGAGTCCATTTCAAATGGGTGTGTCATTGCTTTATTATTTATCATATATTTGTTTGGGGGAGGGGGGGCCTGCCCAAAATGGTGGGTGTTCTTTTTTGGTGTCCCTTCAAAGGCCACAACATGGGGGACCCCGTAGCGAAAAAGAAAAACATACCACAGTCCCAGATGTAAGCTGTCCAGGGCAATGGCTCTCTGGAATCTTGGGACTTCAAAAGGGATCTGAAAGTCCGAACATAGCACATCTCACAGGCAAACTGAGAACCCTTGTCACTGGTCCTCGTCATCCAGGCTGAGCTTATCTTTGGCCCCAGCCTTCTTCAGAAGGCTCACCTTAGATGCCCATCCAGCCCCAGCTTCTTGAAGCCTGAAGACAAGCCACGCCTCCGGCTGAAAAAAGAACTTGCAAGCCTGACTGCAAGTGGAACATTCCGAATCGCTGGGCTTGATGGCATCTAACGAACCTGACTAGGCGGTTCCTGGAAGACCATGTTCCTCAAGGGACCCTCTTGTGGGTTCCGTGTCAGTGGGGAGGGTGAGCTGTCGACGCTCGACCCGCTCCATTCGGCCGTGATGCCAGCTTGGTCTGGTTGAACTGCATGGCGTAGTTCAGGCAGGAGTGGTTCTCGTAGTCGAACTCAGCGCGGAATCAAATACTCAGAGCCCCAGAAACCACCATGTTCAGAAGAGTCTTCATCTGTTAGCGTTCACAAGTCCCGCCCCAGCGCACGAATACTCCGCGGGGTAGCAAGGGGCCCCAGAAAACACCATGTTCAGAAGAGTCTTCTTCTTTTAGCGTTCACAAGTCCCGCCCCGTTCTAAACAAAGCCCCGTCCCATGTCACGCGCACTACAAAGGGGGAACAAATCCTGCCCGTAAAACACGCTGGGGGACCTGTAACACACGCTTGGGGACCTGAAAAACACGCTGGGGGACCCGTAACACACGCTGGGGGACCGGCATTGTTGACGTTGGCCTGTGCCAGGATGAGCCGTCGGGTGATGGCCTGTGCGAAGCATCCACATGCCACAGAAATCCAGGCCCCCCCCCCCCCGTGAACTCCACGCCGCTCCCAACAAAGGATTGATCTCTTGTCTCCGAAGTCACGGACTGCCTCCTACTTTGAGGTGTGTGGGTAAAAAATGGGTAACCCCAAAATGGAACCCTGGTAAATGGAGACAAGGACTGAAACCTGCAGTCTCCTGGTGGTTCAATTTGCCTCATACCCATGTTCAAGGACCGTTTGCTGAAGCAATGCGAATGATCAGCCCACCCAGCCGACCATCTTATATCATGTCTTCCGCTGCATTGTTGTAGGATCGCAATCCGGCTGTGCAGCATATTTCCCGGCACATCTCTTTCGAGCGCCCAAGCGAAGCAACACCAAAATCCAGGGCAGTGTCACCATGGAACTAATCACCCAGACTGTTTTGCTGCAAAGCGTGTCGCCAATAGCCCAGCAGACCCGTGCACCAATATAGTCATGCACCAAGACCAAGCTCGTGTTCATCAAGTGAGGAAAACTTTGTTTGAGTTCCTGAGTTTTGTGATGGTGGTTGAGGTTGTGTTGGGAAAGTTCAAGTTCGACTACAATGATGCTATGCGACTCCTGCATGTTGGCAATATCCTCATCTCATGTGAGCCCAGTGATCAACAAAAAGACGGTTGGTTGAGCTCACTGCACTTTCATCATCTGTCGTCACTCATTTGGCCATGGGTCAAAATCCAAATCGTACCCCCAGTGAACATCCCAATCCCACTAAATAGACTAACATGGGTGGTGAATTCACCTACCAACCAAAATGGGATCTCATTGGTTTTGAACCACAGCCAAGTGAATGAGTTCTGTTTCGCTGGGGCCATCAGGACGTATTTCTTTTTGCCTCTGGGACACGACCTCGGCGCAAGCCTACCAACCAAAATGGGACCCCATTGATTTTGCCAACCACTGCCATTTCTCAGTTGCAGGGGAGGTTGCCGGTGCGAAAGTGCCAAACAGCGAGCTGGACACATTCCCACATGCCCCCGCCTCGTTGCCGTTGGCCACTGCAAACATCAGCGCGGTGCAGCCGTTGTGGTCGCGCGCCTACGGCAAAGTATACGGATGGATGCCAAGCCATGGATGCCGGGAAGAAAGCCAAGCGCGAAGTAAGGCGAGCGGTCAGAAGATGGATTCTTAACAGAACATAGCCAATGAAGCGAATGGCATGTGAGAAACCCTAGGGACCCTTTCGGGAGCGGCTTCAAAAAGAACCAACATGAAATCCTGCACCACCTAAGAAACCATTGTTTGTGGGTAGCGTCATTCCAGGATTTCGTCCATCTGCGCTGCACACCAGCGCAATGCGGCGGGTCATAGCGAACACATTTGCCTCCCTTCCCCCACGCGACCCATGATGATAACCCCCAGCAACATCAGGATGCCCATGTGCATGGTAGACCCCTACCCTTGGTACTTAAAGTTCCAAGTCTTGCACTGCCAATTGGCCTAGTTAACCAAACCTCTTGCCCTCATCCAAGCGCCATGCCTCGATGTATGCCTTGGCGTGAAGCAGCATGGTGATGATATCTGCCTGGCATCTCTGCACATGCCACACACAGACTTTGTTGCACCCAAATCCCATTGTGGTTTAGCTTTACCGAAGTGGCTTGAGAGGTTTGGAAGCCTCTTATCGCTCTTAGTGCATGGACCTTCTGACCGTTTCTTGGCCTTCTCCCTGTCATGAGCAACAAAGTCCCATGCCAACGGGAGTTTCATTGCATGATGGTCTTCGTGTACGTAACAAGGCCAAACAGGAATCATTGTGCCGATAAAGCGCCGCCTGGCTATTGGATTGACAATCCTGGTTAGCCATCGCGGAATGGATTCATCCGAATTATTTCCCCCTGCGACCACTATGAATCAGCAGTGTGGTCATTGCAAGGAGTCTAAGTTCACATAAGCACAATCTACTGGCCTGATGACCCCGCGCCAATGATCCGTCCTTTCCAACCCTTCCCTCCTTTGCTTCGCCTACCTTTGTCTCACGAGGTCGGAAAAGCACCTAACAAAATCAGGCCGCAGTTTCGGTCGCGCCTGCCGCTCATCATCCGCCGATGTCCTCCGGCGCCGAAACGATTCACCGGTCTGTTCGGGCTCACGGGCATGTTCACGATGTGCGCACCACAAGCTTCGGGCAGTGAAAACAGTGTTTCATCCCTACATAGGGGATCAAAACTCCCTTCGGCCCCCCCAAATGACCCTGGGTAACTTTTCCCATGAATATCTTTTGTTTAGCGGCTTTCCCGAATGGTCACCCCTAAAAAACCTTTTGGTGAGCCCCCACATGACAAGCTTCCAACATGGTCCAAGAACCGACCCACTCAAGTCTTGACTCGACGACCTCCCACCTCGAAGAACTCTCTCCCGGAGGTCCTTCGTGCGGCATGGTGCAGGGCTGTCTTGTCGGTATCATCCACCGCGTTCACCTCCACCTCCTTGCCCTTGGTGAGAAGGTAGTCCACCACCTCCGAAAAAAGAATCAGATCGGAAAATATGGTTTGGCGAAATCATGGCAGTGAGAATAAGCCCTTGTCACATCCTAGACAATGGTCTTTCTAAGAAATCCGTTTGGACAGAAAGATGGTAGACTCCCTGGCTTTGGCTCAAAACCTGCGGTTTTGAACTGGGCATAAGGTCAAAAGTACCAGTGGCGGGTGCGTGTCTCGTTTTAGGAAACATTTCTTGGGGGGTGTTTAAGGGGACTCCAAAAAAAAGCCACCCACTTTGAGGTGATGAGCATGGAGAAGTTTCGTGATTGCCCTGTGTGTGGCAGGGTGGGGGGAGGCGCTTCGTTTCTCAAGGATTGATTCGAGTGTGTGTGTACGAGTGTTTGAGATGGGCTCTGCAGGTTGGATTCCAGTAGTAAAAAGATCATGTTCATGGCTCACTTGCAGCGCATCATTCTCAGCATAGCATTGCACTTGATGCAGCGAGAGCGTCATTCGCATTGCATTGCATTGCCCCGCTGGTCGACGTCCAGAAGACAATTCGTGTTTTTTTGTTTTTTTTGTCTCCCTCGGGGATTCTTGGTGGTTCAATTGTGCGCTCGAGCCTGCTAGGCTTATCCCCCTGTGAAGTCAAACCAGAATCTAGTTTCCAAAACGGCTTGCACCTTGCTTGGATCTCTCTTGACCCAGGTCGAGCGTGCTCAACTCAAGTTGTCAACTCCAAGCCATCGACGCGAACTCGGCCATCGACTTGTGGCCGGGACCTCGCGGTTTCCATAGCTCGCGGCGTAGATCAAAGCGGTCTTCCCGCGGATGTCGCTGGCGTTGAGGTTCGGCTTCTGCGCGAACTTGGACCTGGGCCATCGCGAAAAACTCCCCCGGGCGACCCAGACACTCAAAGGTTGGACCGGAGATGGCAACGCAAAGCACCTCCAATCTCTTTTGTGGGGTACCCTGTTTTGGTGTTGCTCTAAAGGGAAGTGAGTCGCAATCAAATCTGGCACAAAAATGGTGAACCCAGAACCATTTAAAGTAGAAAGGCGGCCGCAACTATTTCCGGCTGGGACTGCCCCTTACTAACCATCATCTACTCGGGTTTTGATTGTGGCTCAAGTCACTATTTTAGGGTCCCCCTATTCTAAGACACCCCCATCTCTCGCGCAATCCTGCGACGAGCGGAAGCCAGTGTCTGCCCATCGACTCAGGGAACCTTTGTCTCTGGTCAAGACCTGCCGCCAACGTTGGCCTGTCATGATGCAGTGAAACATATTCCAGTGAGAATAAGACACTCCAAACACAGAGAATGCAGTTTGACCACATAAGCGTCCCACCCTCTTGACCCCTGTTGAACGGGGGCAGCACCCAACCTCCCGGAGCTATGCTTGACAGCCCACCAAACGGGGCTCACCGGATTTCCGCCGAGAAAGTTGCAATTAAACTGATCAAATGAGTGTTTCTCAAGATGATCGACACCTTTTGGTATCCCCTTTTGGTAGTTTTAAAAAGAAGCTAAAAGAGAACCAACCCCTAGAGTGCCTAGAGGGGTTGGAAAAACGAGAAACACCCAAATGGGTGCTAAAAAGTGGTGCATTTCCCAAAATGGCGAGGGGCTCCTGTTTATGCTCCCTCTCGGTTTTGAGCAACTGAGCTTCCCCCTTTCAAAAGTCGCGGTTTAGAGGGTTCCCCCTTTGGGTCGCCTACCCCGGTGCGCCGGTGGCTTGTTGCTTCAAATCCAAACCACCGGGCTCCAAACCACTTCAGGTTGACCCCCCTTTTTCTCAAGCCCAGTTTATTAATAGGAAGTTGTTCCCCTCCAACACTGATGATTACCCACTAAATCCAGGGGTAATCCCCTAGTAATCAACTGGGTGTGAAAAAGCCGGCGGTCAGCAAGGGTGTCCCGTTCTTTTCAACCCCCGAGCTGCTGGCATAATGCCTGAGCTGGGCTCCACCACCTGCCGGACTCGAAAAAAAAAAAAAAAAAAAAAAAAAAAAAAAAAAAAAAAAAACGGTTGCTGGCTGCGGTTGGGATTGGTGGTTTGGTGGTGTTTTCTGGAGGGGTTTCCCATCTACCCCCTACACAGGCCGGGGGTTCGAATCCAAGTCACAAACTAAGGGTTGCCTGAACAAAAGCATGCTTGAAAAGAAGCCGGGAGGTCGGCGCATCACACATCCTAGGACTTAGCCGCTGCCCTTCCCCTTTTGCGCAAAACTTCGCATGAAGCCGCTGGCACAAACGGCCCGGAAGACCAAATGCGGGGCCCTATTGCCCCACATGCCACGCATGCCACGCATGCATGCCATTCGCTGACTGCCCCGCCTTCCGGAGGGCATCAAGGTCCCCAGACCGGGACGACTCCAACATCTCCTGCTGCGACTCGGGAAGGCGTCTTTTTGGTAAAATCGATGGGTTTCCCCGGGGAAATGAGAATCGACCCAGCCGAACCGGTGGAACCCAGATGTTTCTAATCAAACCGATCAAAAGCACACCCATGAATCAGGTGAGTCATGATCAAACCCATCAAAAGGGTCAACCCAATTCCAGTGGTTTCTGGCTGCTGTCCAGTCGCGGTTGCGTTCATCTACCGGGAGAGCCAAGCGGCGGATCAGAACAGACCAACCCCCTCCCTCCGAATTCGGACTAAAGTTTCGAGTCTTGTGGGATCTTGAGTCTGTCAACGCAAGGAACCGTCGCAACCGCTGCTTCGGAAGAATCCCTTGGCGCAGTTGAAAACTATAAGATGGTGCCGCTCAAACGGCTTGCTGATGGAACCTCCCAGCCCTTCACTAGCGCTTTGTGCGGTGATGCGATGATGCGGTGCTCTGCCGCGGATATGACCCCTGCGGCTGCTTTTTGTTTTGCCAAGGCGGGCTTTTCCTAGTGCTGGTTTTTGTTTGGGCTGGCAACATCCCCAGCATGACCTGGACCAGGGACGCGTTTACGTGAGTTGTGGGCTAGTTTTTGGTGGCTTCTGGCCACGCTCCAAAATCAATTCCAAACGAGACCAAAACTCACGTCACCCCCTAAAGCAACCCCAAAGCGGCTGCAAAACCGGCAGCACACCTAATGCAAATCAGCTCCAAGCCAACCCCAAACCCACCCAAAGTCAAATCTGAAGGCCTGGACGTCAGCCCTTTGCCGAGCCTAATTCAACCCCAGCCAACATGCCAAGTGAGGCTGGTGATGCTGGGGATGCGGCCAACCAAGCAAGCAAGCAAGCAAGCTCCCAACCAGCCGGCCGGGGAACCAGACCTAAGAAAAACCGGCCCCGGAAAAAAGACGTCTCATCCCCCCTCAAGTGGCCCGGGAAGAAAGCGAACTCTATTGATGATAGAACACAATTCCAAGCTTGTCGGGTTGCAGGCAGCTTGTTTTCCACTGCCTTGTCTGTAAAAGGGGCTCCGCGGTCTCTCGTCAACTGTCTGGACGCGGCAGGAACGTATGAGATAAGCCGCGAGAAGGTAAAAAGCTATGTCACTCGCTTGTAGTCGCTCTCTCCACTGTTCCTATGTCACGCCGCTTATTCGCTTGGCAAGTGGGAGAAGGAAGACTCGTCCTTTGTCCTCCCATTTCCTTCGCTCGCCATTCCCGCTCGCTTGGTGATCAGAATTCTAGCGAATGTGGAAGGGATAGATCAAGACGAGGAAGGAGAAGTGTCTTCAGATCCCATTCCTCCCTGTATCCTAGACCCTTTCCTTCTAACACTCACACCTTAACAGACTGGAAGTGCATGATGTCACTCACCAACAATCAAAGATATCATGGACGAAGGAAAACACGGGATGAAAAGATGAAGGGAATGTGATCCAACGGGCCAAGGAACCCCCCCCCCAAGCGGGGGAAAAACAAGTGTGTGCTTTGTTTGAGAGTACCCCTGTTGGGCTGGCTTTAAAGGGAAGCCAAAAGGAACCTGACCATCTTTGAGAGTCCCATGCGGTGCTGGTCGCAGAACCGCCAAAGCTCCTTGACCTTGGTGCTGCTTGTGCCGAACCTCGGATGTGCAAATGGGCCCATCGAAGAACAATCCGTTGAATGGATGCGACCAAATGGACTCCGACATCGGATGTGAAGGCTGGAACCAACTTATGAACCTGCTAGCAGGGCTATGAACCTAAAACCCATCACATCAAAGCAAAGGGGCGCTACGCTGGGCGGGTACAGACAGGCTGGCCCCAGTTGGCACCGTGCCTGCTTGCCAGCCTTCACGGGTTCAATTCCCGAAACGAGAGTAAGGCTCAAAGGGACTGTGCGAGCATGAGGCGTGAATGATACCCAGCCCATGTGGACATGTCGACAAAGAAGCACACATCCCTGTCAAGCTGCATTCCAGCTGGCTTCTCCTTCTCTTTGCCAGAGACTGGCCGCAAGGCACTTCGATTTGAGCTGCTTTCACTTTGGGCACGGCTGCACTGCGTGTGGTTTGCTTCATTTGCCCCAATAAGCAATTAGCTAGCATCAACTGCAGGCAGGATACAGGCACATCCATTTGGCAAATCCAGGCAGCATGTAAGCAAGGAGCAAAGAAGACTTGCGCCAGCCTTTTCCAACAAGTAGCTCTCCTGTCTTTGTCCTCGGCACGGATATCTCACAAGATGGAGCTTGGCTCCTATCAAACGGCCCTATCAAAAGACCCCTGTCCGAAAACCGGCCAAGATAAGTGGCCCCGCCTGTGCAAAGTGTAGAAAACAACACATTGTGACATTTGACGAGGGGCCAAGCGCCCTTGTCAGTGTCCCCCTCATTCGATCCGTGCTATCCAGTGCCTGTCAAAGCTGAGGCGGACACACCAGGCTGATCCAGCCCACCACTACGCCCTCAGCTGCAACTTACCGTACTTTTCGGGTTTCAGTGAATTATTCCACCCTTGTTTGACTTGTTACACCTAGAGGGCATCTGTTATGAGCACCATTTCCTCCATATAAAGCCCTTTTTCTTTCTTTAGGTAGTGTTTGTTGCCTAGAAGTTAAAGAGGGCAGACACTGTAGTTCCAGCAGACGCTCCTGGTATCTGTGTCGACATCCTGTGTGTAAGCAGAGGCAAATGAGAAGGCACACAAGGGTCAAAGAGGCACAATCCGGAGCCTCAAACCTCAGCAAATGAATCAGGAAAGCCAAGACTTCCGCATCCAAGGCATTTCGTCCCACGCCATCATAGCTTTGGAACCATCACCGACAAACCCTGCGACCACTTCCTGAAGTCTTTCACCAAGGCACCGAGTCGATGAGAGCTCGGCGCTTGTTGTGCACCCCGAGCTCCCGAATCGTGAACAGCGCGCCTTCCGGTCCAGGGAAAGAGGCTTTGCCAGCGTGGAAACACAAAGCTCTGTGCCCCGGTCTGTCCGTTTTTCTTGGCTCACCTCCTCTAGCCGTGACGACTTGCTCTGGCCTGTGCTGCCGAATCGACAAGCTTCGTCAAAGGGTGCCGCAGGATTGCCCGAAAAAGTGCAAAACAGGACGGTTGACGTGCCAAACTATCCGGGTCTCACCCATGTGGGACGTCTCTGCAAGCAATCTTGCCGCAAAGTACCCTAGGCACAACAAAAACAAGTAGCATCAGCGAGAGAAGCATTGCAGTCATGAGTCCAACACTAAAACTCAAAGCGAGGCCCACTGAGCACTTCGGGTACGAGCATGTCTGCCTTGTTGGCCATGGTCCTCTTAACCGACATGGTTCTTAGCTGACATCTGAGGCCAGTTTGACCATCCCGGATCTCAAGCAACCCACAGCTTCGACCTTCGACGCTTTGTGACCGGTCGACTCAACTTTGACTGCGCGGTGAAATCAAACACTGCCACAAGTGGACTGGCGTTGCTCAACGCGGTCAGGTCGTTCGTCATTCGTCGCAGGCGTTGGCTCTCCAAAGACGATACGTTGACACCAGACTTCAAAATCTGCGCCTGGCTTTGTCTCAAAACAGGAGTTGGTGACCCACAAGAAATTGGCTGGGTTGTCCCTTGGTTTTCCTTTTAAAACCAAAACAACTTTTAGTGGGATAAAAGGAAACCCATCAACTAAACCAACAGCTAAAAGGCTTCCAAGCTAACAAGCTACCGTCCCCAGCCAAGCCAAGGAACTGACTGGCCGGGAACCAAGGAACCAGCCCTCTTCGCAGGCCTGGCTTCAGCTCACCGATGACGTCGCTGTCCAAAGCCTCCGCGGTCCTCGAATCCGAATCGAATCCACCGACCCATGGCCGTCCGGCACCAGCTTTTTGGAGCGGCCAGAAAAAGGCGGGGAGCGCCAGGGCCCCCGGCCGCACAGTGACCATGGACTTCACCTGCCGGCATCCCCAGTTGGGTGGTCAACACCAGCCCCGGGTACCCCGCTCCGAATCACATGCCGCTGTTGCGCAAGAAAACCAGGGGCCATAGCATCAAAACACCCGCAAGACCAGTGGAGGATTTCCGCCCCGTGGTTTTTTGGCAGCCTGCCCCAAAGCCCCATCCGCTTGCCCATTCCAGAGCAAACCGCTTTGCGATGCAACCGGGTTTTGCCAAGGGCACGATCTTTGGCAAACAGGCCGGAAAGAAAGGGGTATCCAATCTGTACCTAGATGTCGAACCATGTACAACACCCTGATAATATCCGCCGACAACAGGCGGCGTGTTGGACATAAAAAATGCTCCTTACCTCTTTACGCGGTGATTTGAAGACGCTTCACTACATCTGTTCATTGTGCGGGCGTGCGCAACTCAGTTTGTCAAAAACATTGGGGTGTTCGATTCCCCCCGGGTCCGCAGCGCATCCTCAGCAGCTCCAGCGGCACATCGCCAGCATCAGCTGCATCATCCGCATCAGCGCCTGCCAAGGATGCGGATGATGCAAGTGATGCTGGGGATGTTGCCCATGCTGGTGAAGGAACATCTGGAAATGAAGGGGGGAAATGGGGGGAAAGGATCTCAACAGGGAAAGCGGGGGAAAGGTCTCAGGGAGGAAAGGGAGAAGATCTGGGGAAAAAAAAAGATCTTAGGGAGGAAAGGGAGAAGATCTGAGGAAAAAAGGCCAACAATAAAAGGAGGAAAAGATAAGGAAAAGGGAGAAGCTCTCAGGGGGGAAAAGGCCTTAGGAGGGAACGGGGGGAAAGGATCTCAACAGGGAAAGGGAGGGAACGATCTTAGGGAGGAAAGGGGGGGGTGGGAAGATCTTAGGGAGGAAAGGGAGAAGATCTGGGAAAACAGGACTTAGGGGGGAAAGGGGGGAAAGGATCTCAACCGGAAAAGAGGGGAAGGATCTTAGGCAGGAAAAGGGAGAAAGATCTCAGGGGGGGAAAGGCCTTAGGGAGGAAAGGGTCTCAACAGGAAAAGGGTGGGAAAGATCTTAGGGAGGAAAGGGTAGAAGATCTGGAGAGAAAAGGCCTTAGAGGG